TACCCACCATCCCCGTCCCTGCTCTGCTCTCAGTTCCCTCAATTAAAGAAGCACCCACAGACCCAGAGAGAAGGGTCCTCTCAGAGCAAAATGCTCTGGTGCCAGAGGAGAAGAGGTTAGACACCTCGGCCCTGCTGCATTTGATCTTGTCTGGTTAACTTTTAATTTCATGGAGTATTGTGCACAGCTTCCTCTACCTTTTTGGCCTCAGCTCCAAGTGAAATGTTACATAGTTCCTCCATCTAAATGCTCTCCCTCCCAAAGGCATGCTCCAGGTCAACATCAGGCATCTTGGAGCAGAATCAAAGATCTCAGAGGGGAATGAGTTCATCCTCACGGGATGGTCAGGGGTGGGGGACCACTGGTTCTCAGAGAACCCCATGATCATCATCCAAGCCCCGGGCTTTTCACGGCCCCTGGAGTGTAGACATCATCTCTGTGAATGAAGCCTGTCTCCCACTGAGTCAAGAGGAACTAGAAAGCACCTCTGGATATAACAGGACCCTCATGCTTACATGGTTATTTCCCCTTGAGAAAACTCCAGAAAAGCTGATGAGTATCAAATGAGGTCTTGTGCCCTCCATCCATTTACTTTCTTCCTTCAGATCTTCTCCCAGGCATTCTCATTTGTAGGTGAGCTTTTAGCTGGGGACAAGTCTCCATGTGCCTGGGGCGCTCCTTACAGAGATACCTCTTCAAGCCCCAGGGCTTCCATGCAGTAATGTGTCACCTGGATGGTTGTGGCCAGCAGGAATGGTGTACCCCACCCTCCCCTTTGGAGTGTGCCACCCAAGCCTGAGGTTGCTTCTGAGTCACTTGAGGATCTGGCCTGGAAAATACAATTTGGAGGCCTGATGTGCAATTCAACCTGGCCCAACCTTGGAGCTGTTTTTCCTTGATGCACCCTCTAGACTTTTTGCATATCTGCCACCACAGGCCTCCTCAGGAGTGGCATCTGGCTGCTTCCTTCAGGATCTCTACCACCTTCTGAGCCTGCTACTGAGGCCTCAGAACTGCATCCTTTTGTGAGGCCATCAGAGCAGTCTGGCCTGGTCAGGAGAGAAAACAACCCTGTGCTGGGGGAGGTACATTCCTGAGTCTTCTCACCTCCTCACCAGGAACTGGGGACTTGGGATGAGATGTGGTAGAACTTGTAGATAACTCTGCAAATGGAAAGAAAATTTGTGGAACCATTTTGAATGAATGGATTGGTTTCTTTGGCTTTCTTCAACCTGGCCAAGCTCAGCTTCTGAAGCAGGAACCAGCAACATCTCTGTGCCCGATGCACAGCATTTAGGTCAGGGGGGAATAGAGACCACATTCTTGGACTACTGGGCTGTCAGAACCCTTCCAGAGAGGCAAACGAGCCAGACAACTGCCCTGGCCCCCCGAAAGGGGCTGTAGGTATCTCTGGATGTCAGCGGCAAGACTGGGAAGTGACTTGGGGAAGAACTTGTACCAAGTGGCTCATGGAGAAAACAGATTTGACTTAGGGAGAGATTAGTAGGAATAATGTGTGGACTTGATTTCCCCACCTTCTAATCAAGAATGAAAATTTGAATCTGCTCCGGGTCGGGCCCAGCAACTCCTGAGCTTGGCAGGCTGTCCTCTCGGGGCCTCCACAGCCCTGGGCTGTCTCCAGCTTCCTGCCATTTGGTCTGCTGATCATGTCCCTGGTAATGTGTATGAAAAGTGTAACCAATTGTTCCCAGTTAAAGGTGAGCTACGAGATATCTAACTTCTTTAACATTGAGTTTGTGTGGGGTGTGTGGTTTTTTTCTTTTTTTTTTGTATATTGTTTACATTTTGAGAGGTAGCATTCTGTTTTAAATGCTCTTTTTGTTTTTCTGACAGTATTGTTGACTGGGTCAAAACATTTAAGCTGTGGTTTGGTGGATTTTAAATTTTTTTTAAAGGTCATTCTCTGTGCTATCTTCAAAACCTTGGGTTTGGTCCTTTAATTCCTTTGGCATTCAAATGTTTAAAAGCTATTTATCTTGGTTTATACAAGGTTTTTCTCTTCTTTTTGTAAGGATGAAGATGTTAAATTTGGTTTGCAGTTTGAATGTAGAGAAAGTGAAGTGATCCCCAAATTTTTGTCTGCCTCCGCTTTTTTCCCAGTCCCACCATGCCTTGTCTGGGCAGTAGAAGGCGTCCAGGGGCAAGTGACTACCCTCACCATCACTCTGGAGCCAAGAAGAAAAGCTGAATGGTCTTATGGCATCCCAGAATAATTTGGGGTCTCCCAAGAACAAAGGCATAAGAATAGGACACAGTTGACTGGATGAGGCCTAGATGAGGATAAGGGAGGATTCCCCTCCATTCTCACCCTCTACCACTTAACCAGTCACAGCTCCTCCCATCCTGCCCCTCTTCTTTTGAAAGTCTGTGCTGAGAAAACTCATCTCCCAGGTCTCCCCACCAAAGCGAGAGTTCCCCTGAAAACTCCACCTCAACCACTAGAAGAAGGCCTCTGGCCATTGTTCCTGTTAATGAACCACTGAGTCTTCATCCCCCAGTACGAGCTCCTTCCCTGTGCCTTCCAGCGTAGGGGCTGCGGGGCAGGCTAGGAAGCCAGCAGTTCCAGGGGCACAGCCCGAGGCAGTGCTCGATGTCTTCTTATTTAGCTCAGGGGTTACTGGTCTGTGGCACGTGCTACAAGTCGCCCCTGTGGCTGAGTGGCACTCCCTAGGTCCCCACTACAGGCAGCTTATCCTCCCTGCTCCCTCTCCTACTTGTTTCTCTTGCCTGTGTTTTAGGCCTCACACAGGTTCCCTGGTAGTGCTCAGGGCTTGGGACTACATGCTCCTGCCCTACTTTCTCTTCACAGTCTGCCAGGGTCTGCCCAGAGAGGTGGACCAAAGACCCAGGACTTTTTCTCAGTAGCCAATCCCACCCTCCTCTGTCTTTTTATCAAGTTGAAGAGAGAAAACTTCAGCAATCCCCAGCATTTGAGCTACTCAAATGTTAGGGTCTAGAAGGGACCGTGTGTTTAAAACCACCCTCAGAAGGCTCTGGCCTTAGACCTGTGGCTCCCGCAGTTCCAGGGACCCCACTTCTTTCTGGCAGAAATGTGGGGAGGGGGCTCCAACCTGAGCACAGGAATCAAAGGGAAAACACATTCAAACTGCCCCCAAGTCTACCAGCCATCTGCAGGGGCTCTGTGACACAGCCCTGGCAACCTTCTGAAATGTGACACTTAAGAAGAGTGTCTCCAAAGGGAAGAGGAGACTTGGCTGTCCCTGGAGATCGTTTGGAGGCTGGGGGAGGAAACTTCAGAGGAGTCCCTTCTCCTTGCTCAGAGCCATTTTGGGAGGAAGTGGGGAACCAACAGCCTTTGGGGGTAAGGCCTGGTGCCACTCAGCACACCCAAGCATCAGGTCAGGTGATTGTAGTAAAAAAAAATGTGAAGTTTAGATTCAGCTTTTGGGGGAGCAGGATAAACTACCACCCCACCACATGTGTGTGACTTCTCAATTTCCCATTGCAATTTCCATTTTTTTAAATAGGAATTTTCAAACCCCTGTGCTTGTCTAGTGTCTGCTCGGAACAATTCGAGACCCTGTTACTGTTTTAAGATGCATGCATGTTAAAAGATGAATCTCCAACCCAAGGAAAAAAATAAAACTCAAAAAAGCTTTGTGTACACACCTGTCATATGTGAGTCCTTTGGAAATAAGCTTTTTATCTTTTTCCTAATTAGAAGGTTTTGGTCTCAGTTTCAGGGACTGCTTGGGCTAAATCTGGGCTTGAGTTTGAGTAAGAGTCAGGACCTTTGGTCACTCAATTTCAGATACCGTTAATAAGCAATGACTAAGGTGGTGCTTAAGAGATGTGGGTTCAGTCCATGGGTTTGGAAGATCCCCCGGAGGTGGCAATGGCAACCTCTTTAGTATCCTTGCCTGGAGAATCCCGTGGACAGAGCTTCCAGGCGGGCTACAGTCCATAGGGTCACAGAATCGGACACGACTGAAGCGACTTAGCATGTACACATGCAGGGGCACAGACCCCGGAGGGCCCACCTGTCCACTACCTTTACCCTCAGCCCTGCCCTCTCAGGAATGGACACACTGCCCACACTTCCCCAGTGCGCAGAACCAGCACTTGGTGGAAGCCACACATCTCTCCCAGCTCTCCCTTGACTAGCTATGTTGTTGACTTTTAACAAGTCACTTCTACGTGCCTCCAGTTCTCCACCTAGAGTTTTAGCTTATAATCTAGTGGTTCTCAAGAGTGTGGTCCAGGACCACACCTAGGAACTTATAAATCCTCAGGACCCTCTGGAGCTCGGGACTAGAAACTGCTTTATCACGCCCTCCTGATGATTATAATGGAGGCTAGAGTTTAGGAACTACTTGCTTATTAGGGGATCTGCAACAGGTTGCAAGCTGGAATCATTTGGGGAACTTTTGGGGGAAAGAGGTGTCCAGGCCCCTTTAAAAGGCCAAATAAATCAGGGATCAAAATACCTTGTGTTTTGGAAGCACCCTAGGTGACTAATGTGTAGCCAAGATTAAGAAACACTGATGTGTAAGGATATTACTTAGGGATACGTGGCCAAATTTCTACCTGAAACAAAGAATATTTAAGGGTTTTCCAAGAGTTGCGTATAAAGGATTCTAGGCTTTGGAGTCAAATGGAACATTGGCTTACACCTTTGCTCTACCACAAAGTGGCCTTGAGCAAGGTACTTAACTGTCATTAAACAAGGAAAAAAACTATTACCTTGTCAATATGATGATTAAATTCTAGAACATATAAAGCACCTTGTGCAGAGTCCAGCACATAGCAGGTGCCCCAAAAGTGATCTGTAGATACCACTCCCACTGGTGGACCAGTGGAGCATACTGCAAGTCAAGAAAACCTGAGGGCTGAGCTGTGCCCCAAGTAGCTGTTTGTAACTGCCCAGCTGGGGGACAGAGATCTGTGGTAAAATACTCAGAGAAGCAGGAGTGAAAGAAAATCTTTTATTAAAAAAAAAAAGTGGGCTCTGAGAAGAGTTAGTCCATGCGGGCCTTCAGTGTCCTCGTGGTGATTTTGTCCTTCTCACTGCAGGGGGAGAAAGTCACAGAACATCTAAATCCATGAGACTGCAGAACAAACTACAGCAAACAGCTGTCCTAACTCTGGGGTTAACTGTTGCCCATGTTACACTAACGTCAGCTTGTTTCCCTGGCCTGTGGTGAGGAAGGGGAAAATGGAGACATTTCTGTAAGTGAAGCCATCAGGAGCTGGGATGACTCAAGGCTGGAGTGTGAAGCACTCCGGAGCAGGGCGAGAGCTCCCCAGGCCGAAAACAAGCAATTGAGGAAGCAGGTGTGAGGTGTTTCACTCCAGTGACTAAATTCTCAGTATCAGCCCCAGTCTGTTTTTCACGATAATTAAGCAGGTAACAAAAGGGTCCAAATGGGACCCTTATTCTGGGACAGTTTCCAAGGAAAGCTGTCCCGAGGGTACCTCTGACTTTAGCCAGTCAGATTCCCGGTGACATCCCCAAACAAGAGGGAAAGGGTGGCAGTTAGGAATCTGGCTAGGGGGTTGGAAGGTGTTCACAGAGCTCAGTACGCCACACAGGTGTGGCTTCCATGCTGGTGCGACCTGGGAGAGGAGAGGAGGGACCCGGGATTTATTCTGATCAATCTGCAGGAGCTCTGCACCGGTCCCTGAGACTCTGGGAACACTGTTTAGGAAGGAAAGAAATGTCTACTGTGAGCAAGAGGAGGTGACTCGGGGCCAGGGAGCCTCGCTGGACAGAGGTTGGGGAAATCCAGGTAGGCTCCCAGCTGCCACCCTTAGGAAGAATGGATTATTCCTGCTATATGGTGCCTACTGCAAGAAGCTTCCTTATTTCACGCCTGACTCGGGGGCTGGGAAGATGGGCTATTTGTGCAGGAGGGGAGGGGCGTGTGTCTGCAAAGCTCCTAGACTTCTCCCGATGCATACTCACATGACGTGGACAATGACTCCCATGCCTGACACTGCATCCCTGTCCACAGCATTCAGCATGGCTTGTGAGATGGTTTCAAACAGGTGTTCTGGATCCTGCCAACAGAGCAGCAGCCTTTCAATCCCCAGAACCTCAGACCTTCACTTGGTCTGGCTCCCTAAATCTTTTCTTTAGGCTCAAGGTACCCAGCTCAGGCACCTCCTGTGTCTGGAGGGATAGTTTCCTGGGTGCGAGAAATCCCCTCAGCTCCTTCTCATAAGGAAGCAGGGTTACGTAAAATAAAGTTGAGGCCCTGAACCTCCTCCGTTAATCAGCAGCGTGACTTTGAGCAAGTCAGTGTCCCTTCACAAAGCCTCAGTCCCTCTTCTGTGAAATGGGGAGAACAGTCCGCACCGCTTCTCTGCGCCTCACCAGCTGTCTGATGATCTCTCCTCCCACATGGCTCAGAAGTGCCTGTCCCACCGTGGAACCATTTCCCGCCAAACCTCTTCCGTCCTCTACATCCTTTATCTTGGTTGGCTTAGCTAGGAAAGTCAAGTATCCTCAGCATCTCCACCATTCTCATTTCTGTTTTAAGGAACCAAGTCCTCTAGACTCTGGTTGCCCTGTTCTCCCAATGCCACTTTCTTGCTCAGGACCTCAGCACCTCCTGCAGCTGACAACAGCCCACTGCACCAACCTGCAGGCCTCCGGTTCCTAGGGTCTCTTACTATCTTAGACACCATGTCAAAGGAAAAAAGTGCCAGTTCCTTGACATGGCATCCAAGGCATTTGCAAGTCTCATTCTGACCTCAGGCTCCGCCTTTCTCTAGCCCACATTCTGCGCACACTCAGGCAACCACAGCAAGCTCTCCCCAGTCACTCAACTCCCCAGGCCCCTCCTGAACCTCTGACCTTTGTACAGGCTGTCCCTTCTACCAACCAGGCCCTTTCTTTCCTCCTCTTTCCAGTCAACTTCATTTTAACAGATAACTGGGTGTCTGTCTGGCTTCACTGGCTGCAATGGGCCCTTGAGGATGGACTACCTGGTTTCCCTGGAGCCTGGCAGAACTGGCACACCAGTTAACCCTCCCTGTCAGGCACTGTTCCCGTCTTTCCAGGCCATTTCCTCACACCACCACTCGTAAGACAGATCCTACTATCATCCCTGCTTCACCGCTGAGAAAGTGGAGGCACAGAGGAGTAAAAGGACTTACCGAAGAACATAACTAATTTAGACGGTAGGTGGACCTGGGTTCCCAGCCCAGACAACCTGGCTCCACAGCCCATTTTGCTGAGCTGCCTCTAAATAATCCTACACCCTGTTAAATGTTTATTCAACAAATGGATGTGAGAACCTCATAAATCCCACATGAGCAATTATTTGTCACTGTAGCAAATATCTGAGGTCTCCTCACAGAAGGTACTCTATCTAGGAGCCAAGGCTCTGGCAGATAAAGTTCCTGGACACCCTTCCAAGGCTCAACAGCTGTGGCTTTCTCTCCTACCCACACCATTCTCCCCATTATTGTTGTTTACTTGCTAAGTCGTGTCCGACTCTTTTGCGACCCCATGGACTGTAGCCCGTCAGGCTGATCTGTCCACAGGATTTCAAAGGCAAGAATGCTGGAGTGGGTTACCATTTCCTTCTCCAGGGATTCTCCTCATTACCAGCCAGGTAAACACATTTTCCCCTGATGGTCATGGAGTGGGCACCTCAGAACTCAGCCCCGCTCCACGCCAACAACTCACCATGTTGGGCTCCCAGAGGGACTCGCACATCCCGTACATTTGTTCAGTGCAGGTACCACTGACTACAAAGTCATCGGTCACCATGGGGCAGCCAATAAGGTCTAGAGAGCAAATGAAAGGCTTAAAGGTCTTCGGGTCCAATCCAGCAATGACCGGCTCCGTGTAGTAGGGCCCAAACCTGTGGGACCAGGAGCAGAGAGAGAAAATGGCACTCAAAAACATTTCCTTTCCTGTTTAATCTATCCAGACAAGGCCCTGGCCCAGATCCAAATCTCCTTTCCACTCCTCTCCTGGCATCTATAAATGCTCTAAGACTTTTTCTTCTTTTCTCTGACTCTTACCTTCATATTTCCTCACCACTGACCCTCTCTTCCTCTTTCTTTCTTTGGGAATTCTGTTTTTTTTTACCTACTCTTCCCTATCCTCATCCAGATCCTGTCACTATTCAGTCTTCTATTTATACACCTATACCTTTACTCCTTTCAAAAAAAGATTTTCAAGCAGTTTGTAGAAAAACACTGAAACTAAAACTGAGCCACTAAAACATAAGCCATTTGCAATAACATGGATGGACCTAGAGATTATCATACTAAGTGAAGTAAAAAATACCATATGGTATCACTTATGTGGAACCTAAAATATGACACAAACCTATTTATGAGACAGAAACAGACTCATAGAAAACAAACTCAGAGTTACAAAAGGGCAGAGGGAGTGGAGAGGGATAAATTAAGAGCTTGGGATAAGCAGATACAAACTACTATATATGAAATAGTTAAACACGGTCCTACTCTACAGCATTATGTTCAATATCTTGTAATTATAATGGTTATTAAATATCCTGTTAAAAAAAAAACCACGTGAAGTGAAGTGAAAGTTGCTCAGTCATGTCTGACTCTTTGCGACCCCATGGACTACACAGTCCATGGAATTCTCCAGGCTAGAATACTGGAGTGGGTAGCCTTTCCCTTCTCCAGGGGATTTTCCCAACCCAGGGATCAAACCCAGGTTTCCTGCATTGCAGGTGGATTCTTTACCAGCTGAGCCACAAGGGAAGCAAAAGAATACTGGAGTGGGTAGCCTATCCCTTCTCCAGCAGATCTTTCCGACCCAGGAATCAAACCAGGGTCTCCTGCATTGCAGACGGATTCTTTACCAACTGAGCTATCAGGGAAGCCCTTGTGAAAAAACTATAATGGAAAAGAATATGCATATATACATAAAAGTAAATCACTTTGTGCTACTAGAAACCAGCAAAACATTGTAAATCAGTTCATTTAAAAAACGTCTTCCTGGGACTTCCCTGGTGGTCCGGTGGCTAAGACTCTGTGCTCCCATTACAGGGAACCAGGGTTTGATCCCTGATCAGGGAGCTGGGTCCCACATGCCACAACTAAGACCTGGTGCAGTCAGATAAATAAATAAAATATTTAAAAAAAAAAAAAAACAAACGTCTTCCTATGCACTACCACCAATCAAAAAAACCCCTCCAAACAGAATTCAAGACACTCAAACTAAACACAAAGTTTTGTTCTGAGTCTCCCAGAAGGCAAAGCAAAAAAACATACTCAGTGAGGTGGGTTATTGTCATTGTCTGCCATCAGGAAATAATAGCTCATCAGAAACTTGTTCTAGACCTTGAGATCTGAGAAGAATCTATCTTAAGAGATCTTCATTTATTTATTTATTTTGAGAGAAAAATACAGTTGATTAGGCAGGAGACGCTGTTAGAACACCGGGCCAGCTCAAGGGAGAGCTGACCCCTTTTGTGGGCTAGTAGCCAATTTTTATAGTCTCAAAGACAAAGAAACTTCCTGCCGGAAGGGTGGCATTAGGTGATTGGTTAGGGTGCTATACAGTCGGTATTTTACCTAATATGGAGTCAGCGAGTTGGCTGGTTTAGGTCAAGGGGTCTCAAGGCAACAGCTGTTATGAGGATTAGTCAGTTCCAGAGATGACCTTGGTACAGGGCTCCACATCTGTGACCTTGGTTATAGGGCTCCATAATCCCCACTCTTTTTATTTATGGGTCAAATCTTTGGCCCCTTAACACCCTGCTTGTGACTAACTATCTACCCCATCTCAGGCCATGGGGACTCAGGTCACTGAGGAAAGGGGTAATGACTGCTCTGACTTCTTTAGGCTGAACAGGAATGTTATAGGGTCCTGGGTCATCATAGGGATCTTTATATAGGAAATACTTTATATATATAAATACTTTATATAGGAAATTTAACATCTCAATTAAATTTAAAAAACAAAACAAAACAAAAGAAACACCTCTCCCTGCCTGCCGCCATAAAATAGTTTAAAAAATATTTTGTTAAGCCTTTCTCAATTTGGGATTTTGATAAACATGGTTATTACACATGTCAGACAATTCATAGCTAAGACTATTAACATAAACCAAAAAACAGTAACTCTATTTTTCAATAGTAAAAAGGCAACAATATTGCTCCACATATGGAAATGGCAAAAATTTAGTTTTAAAGCTAAAGAGTACTTTTGTAACTTTTCTATAGAGTCAAAAATTATTTCAAAATAAAAAATTTAAAAAAATAAATAAGGAAAGAAAAAAAGAGCTCAACTCGTCTTCTTACCACCCAGTTTTGCCCAGAGATGAATGGGGAAAGTATCTACAGGCCTCTCCCTTCAATTTCATCACAACTTCTGGACTGAATTCTACAATTAGGGGCCCCATCTTGTCTCACTATAAAGTTCTCCAATATCAAAAATTAACATACCCAATTCCTAGACTCCATGTATTCCAGAGAATCTAATGATCATGACAGAATGAACTTTGGGGTAAGGGTGGCTCCTGGCCGGGAGACTCCTGGGCACACTTTGGTAGCATTAATTTTGTTGCCTGGGAGCAAGTTTATTTGCTGTTTGCATTCCTTGCCTTCTTCTGAAGTAGCCCTTTTTCTTTCTTAATTGATTGTTAGGCCCAGAGAAAACATACCCAAAAAATAAGGATACTGCCCTACAAATAAGACATGTGTCAGCCAGGGGGAATCTCCTTCCTAGGTACGTTCCCCAAGTCCCAGGCTACACTTCTACTCACCGTTTCTCGTACAAGAGGTTGGCCACCATGCTCATGAGCGTGTAAGGTTTGATCTGCCGGCCTTCCTTCAGCTCATACAGGTTCAGCCGGAACTTGAGGCGCTGGGCACTGTGGTAGAAGGAGAAAGTGTGTTAGTAATTGCTGAATGTCCCCTGGTGTCCACCTCATGGAGGTCAGGAGGTGCCTAAGGAGACACACAATCCCAAACCTGCCAAGAGACTCCTCCCCATCTCCCAGTGATTTTCTTACCAGAAGTCCAGCCTCATGCCCACTTTGAGGTTTTGTCCAACACTTCTACCTGTAAACATGCCACTCTGCTAACCTTTTTCCTCATACTTTTTTTGAGGCGAGAAGAGGGGAGTAAAGAAGTGGATTCCCAAAAAAAAAAAAAAAAAAAAAGAAGTGGATTCCCACTCCACCCCCACCCCCACACACACTTTTTTGAGGAAGAGTTTATACAGCACACTCTGGACAGGAGCCTGAAGGCAGACATACTGATGGCAGCTTACAGTAGAAAGAGCAATAAGAGGGTGCGATGTTTAGAGAGAACAGCATCAAAACATGTATATTATCTAGGGTGAAACAGATCACCAGCCCAGGCTGGATGCATGAGACAAGAGCTCGGGCCTGGTGCACTGGGAAGACCCAGAGGATTTGGGTGGAGAGGGAGGTGGGAGGGGGGATTGGGATGGGGAATACATGTAAATCCAAGGCTGATTCATGTCAATGTATGACAAAAAGCACTACAATATTGTAAAGTAATTGGCCTTCAACTAATAAAAATAAATGAAAAAAGAAAAAAAATAAAAGAAAGAGCAATAAACTGAGAGCTGACTTGGGCTAAGTCTTCCTCTTACAGCTTAATTTTTCCATTCCTAAGATGGGGACAAAATAAGTCATATGGCAGTGAGATAATGTATGAGTGTTAGTAAGCAGCAGCAGCTGCACTAAGGGACTGAAAGACACCTAAGAAAATAGGCCACGCCTCCTCCAGGGCAGTCTGAGCCCAGGGGTAGGTCCTGCAGGGAGCAGGCCAGTGACAAGACTGCTGCAAGCGTAGCACTGAGTCACAGGACACCAGAGGAGACACAAGCCTGAGCTTTCATCATACAGTGAGGAAAATGAGGCCCGGCAAAATTAGCAATGACTGCCCACAAACATGCAAACTTGGTGAGAGAAGCCTCCTGAAGAAAAGAAAATAGTGTGAGGGGAACAGCTGTGATTGGAGACAGGAAGACTAATGGGAGCCTTCACAGTGACAGGAACACTAAGCCATCATTCTCTGATTCCACCAGCACTGGGATAAAAGGGTTGGTTGGTTCAGATCTCAGGAAGAATATTCACGTTATACACATTCTTGAGACTTTAAGAAGGTTTGAAGGAAATGAGAGAAAAAAATTCCTGACAAGCTCCCATCCACATGTTTTTGTTGTTCAGTCGCTAAGTTGTGTCCAAGTCTTTGCGACCCCATGGACTGCAGCACGCCAGGCTTCCCCGTCCTTCACTATCCCCTGGAGTTTGCTCAAATTCATGCCCATAGAGTCAGTGACGCTATCTAACCATCTCATCCTCTGTTGTCCCCTTCTCCTCCTGCTCTCAATCTTTCCCAGCATCAGAGTCTTTTCTAATGAGTCAGCCCTTCGCATCAGGTGGCCAAAGTATTGGAGTTTCAGCTTTAGTATCAGTCCTTCTAATGAATATTCAGGGTTGATTTCCTTTAGGATCAACTGGTTTAATCTCCTTGAAGTCCAAGGGACTCTAAAGAGTCTTCTCTAGCACCACAGTTCAAAAATATCACATCAGGAACTATCAATCTTCTAAGAACTATGTCCAAGAAGTGCTGCTTCTTAGGCTACCTGTAACCACACCTCCCCTCTTGAAACTTTGACCCTGACTCTTTTCCTCTTGTCTCTCTTCTTACCCCACTACTGAATATACAGTTCAGCTCTTGAGTTGTCACTTATTTTTTTCCCTCTATACATTTTGTCTCTCTGTAATCTGTTCCCATAGATTAAACAGATCACCAATGCCTATCCAGCCCTGAGATATAATCTCAAGACCTCAACTGCTCACAGAATGTTTCTACTTGGCTCGCCTTGTCACTTCAAAATTGGTATCAAAATCAAAGTCATTCCCTTTCCCCTAAAACTAGTCTTCTCAATTTCAGTCAACATGCTCAAAACAAAAATCATCTTTGAAACATTGCTGAATTGCCTACATGTCAAGTACCAAACTAGACACTTAACAGATAAAAAAGACATGAATCCCAACCTCAATATCCAAGTAGCCACTGAGGTAAGTCAGCAACAACTCTCAGAAATGCCTTCTTTTCCTTTCCCACCACACCACCCCATTATGACCACAACCATCACACCTCACAGAATCACTTATTTCATCTCCCCAATTCTCCCTTCTCTCACAAAATCACTGCCAACTAAGTAGCTACTCTAGCAGTTAATCTGCACCTGCTCATTATGGATTAGTTATCTTTCTAAATGCCTGCCTTGTCTCCCAACTAGACCACTTGTAGTTCTTTAGGGACTGAGCATGAGCTTTGGCCTCAGAAATTGGGATCCTGGGAGTCAAGCTTACAACTTGAGCAGTAAGACTGATACCTTGTTTCCTCATCTGCAAAATGGGAGAGTAACATGGTGATGCATGCCCTTAAGAGGATTAAAGTCCATGAAGATAGGGTGCTTTCCACAGTATCTGGCTCAGAGTAAATGCTAAGCTGGTTAGGATCCACTCTATCGTTTACAGTGTTCGACAAAGTCTCAGAATCACTGGTGTTGTTCAGTAGAAGACTGACAGGCCACTCATCTCACTAGGCAAGGCTAGTTCAAGAAGCGTGGGTGTGCGTGGTAACCCCCGACACTTACACTGTCTGGACGTCGGTGGCAAGACCCGCCAGGCCGATGTACAGTCGGTCGCCCATGGGAAAGATCTTCTGGAAGTCCGTGGTCACCATCTGGGCCTGGATTCCGAAGCGCCGGTCAGCAGCGATGGCCACACAGTTCTTCCCCTTCATGGCCATGACGGCCCCTCCGTTATAGGACATAATAGACTGAAGCAAACAGAGCGGAGAGGCTCAGCGCGAGGGGCAAACGAGGCCATAGCACCCGGCGCAGCCCCTGATTCGCAGGCTCCTGTACGCACCGTCCTCCACTCTGGAGGCGCCTGGATACCCTGAACTCCAGCTCTGAGATTATCGCTGTGAGGTTGCGAGGAGCCCCATTCCCCGCCGCGGTCCTCACCAAGGTTCGCTCCCCCTTCAAACTGAAGTGACTTCCTTCAATCGACCACCAGGCCTCTCGACCTCCCAAACTTCCCATGACCTCCCCTCCCCATTCCTCTATCCCTACCCCATGTCCCTTTTCTTTGCTCCCTGTCTCACCATGATTGCGGTGTGTTAGGACCTCCAATCGCCACAGTTCCAGCAAAACTGCTAAGGGCCTCACTACGCAACCACCCTCGCTGCTTTCTCTCTATTGGCTGAGAGGCCGACCCTTCCGGAACACTTTGATTTTCTATTGGCTGTGCGTCTTTGTCAGTCATCAGTACAGAAGTTTGGTTGAGAAGCCAAAACCTAGGTAAGGAAAGCGCAAAGTGAAAAGTCACCGTGAGTGCGGAAGAGCTCGGCGTCGCGGTGCAAGCTGGGATAGTGGTGGACCCAGTCTCTGGAATCCAGAGACGCCGGCCGGAACCTCCGTCCACGTGGGCTGGTGAAACCCGAAATAAAGGGCTTTGGCTCCAGTGAAGGGCCACTGGGTTGGTTAAGGGCACGCTGTGCGGTCAGGGATACTACTCATGAAGCTCGTTTCATTTATTCATTCCAGAAATCCTTACATCTGTTGTATGCCAGGCACCATGCTAGGCTCTGGACATGCACTGGACTAGAACAGTGTCCGGTATTTGGGAGGCGCCCGTAAAGTGCTTTTTTACCGTTAAGAGGGAGAGGGGCGCTGGGAGGGCTTCGCAGATATTCTGCGGCTGCAGGGGTTGGGCTGCAAAGGGGACATTTGGAAGCTGCAGGTCGACTTCACGTAGACTCAGTATCTCATCACCCTAAAGAAGAACGTTCCGGACTTCCCCAAGTCTAAGATCCAGAGGAAGCAGGCGACAATTTCGCCAGCCCCAGCCACACCCGAGCCAATGCAGGGGAGGCTTGCACGTCCCGCCTGCTCCCATCCCTTGATCGAGATCCTTCCCTTTCTCTCTTGGGTCTGACTTCTTTCGTCCCCCTATGGAATTTGTTCTGAGTCTTCCGCTGTCGCAGGCTCACTCCCATTGACTCGGCTCACCGCCACCGTAGTCGTTATCACAGTCTCTGTGGCGCAATCGGTTAGCGCGTTCGGCTGTTAACCGAAAGGTTGGTGGTTCGAGCCCACCCAGGGACGTTCGCTTTTTCCCACCATAAAAAAGGAAAATCTAAAGGCATTATTCACTCAACCGCTGTAAAGCCAAATTTTGCATTGAAATAGAGACAACGCTTTTTCTATAGGTAATCAGAGGGTCATTGTGATTGAAACTTCTTTGTTGTTCAGTTAATGACAGGATTTCTCCAGCACTTCCCTCCTCCACCTACCTCCAACCCCGCCCCCAAATTGGATTGCCGGAAAAGCAAAGACAGGTTTTTGTCTCACCGTGCAATACGTTTCAGGTTGCATTTTCCGTAAGATTAAGAATGAATTTGCAGTGGAGATCGGTCAGTTTTCCACTGTCTGTCTCTATTAATGTTACAATCTCGAAATGTTACATTTGGAAAGGAAGAAAATAGCGCGAGAGACAAAGGCAGTGACAAATTGAGGGATGAAGAGAAAGGTGAGAAAAGGAGAACACAGCTGTGATATACGGAGAGAAAGACATGACAAACAGGCGTAGTGGAAGGAAGACCTGGAGAAAATGGAAAAGAGACTCTTAGTATGGGAAGCATGAGAAAAAGGAGTTGGACAACAACAAAACAGGTTCTTTTTCTAGAAATAAAGAGATGTGGGGAAGAAGATGGGGAAACAGAAGCAGAATCTAAGGACATTGTTTTGGGGAGAGAGGAGTCAAAGAGCACAGAGGTAAAGGTAGTCATAAAAAGTCTAGAGGAGCTGCTCTCTCCTAACATTGTCATCCTCTTCCAGGAGATCTTATCACCACAGTATCTCTTAGTATATGTGCTGGAAATAATTACCTAGACTCCCGAGTTCCTGCCCTCTGGAAGCTTTTGGTCTATGACAGACAGCGACTCTTCTAATGAAGTCTGTCAGCTAGGTGACCTCCTGAGATACTACAGCTAACACAATGGAGGAGAAGCTTTGGCACCTCCTGTCTGCCAGAGATGCATCCCTGGGCTGGGAGTGGCAGACTTGGCTTGCTTTTAGGAGACGCTCTCTCAAGCAGTTCCCTTCCACGTTTGATCTCTCCTCCAAGGATGGGCTCAGAGGAGGCCTCTTCTGAACGCCTTCTTCAGTGCTCATCCACCCTGACAGGGGGAGGGAAGGAATGGGAGTGGTAGGTGGTAGCAGCAAACCCGAGGGATACAGTGCCCATAGAAGCTAACGGGACAGGCTATGTAACCCTCCAGCTTGCCCCCACTGGTCTGTGAGTGCCCTGTGGGCATAAGCCCGGCTCATCAGCTTTACGTCCCCTGTGTTTAGTGCAATATTTGACAGTGGCATGTGACAGATGCTTCTTGGTTGGGAAACGAGAACTTCAGAATTGAGAAGGGTTTGGTCAGAAGGTTCCGCCGATAAGCCAGAGAGGCCAGGGATGTGGGGACTGGAAAGGGACTGAAATGATTAAGATGAAGTTGCAGTCGTAGTGGGGGCTGCAGCATGCTCCCCTGCTTTGTGGTTGGTTTGCGACTGATGCTTAAATAACCATCTGAGGAACCAGTGAAGGGATTCCCAGTAAGCACAGTGGCACCCTCTGGCAGCACTCCAGGATTAAAGGACCGAAGTGGGGACTCAGAGGGACATCAGCCTACTTCCCCTTAGCTGATAGCCTCCCACCCTCATCCAGGCAGCCCCTGAGTGCCCCCTGTGGATCATGGATGAGACCCAGACCTTCCCGAAGCCCCTACAGGTTTCTCTCGCGGGGATCTTCTAGCTTGAAAGGAGTCGCAGATCAGGAGTCCCAGCTGCTCTCCCCTTCGGCAGGGTGACTGGGGGACCGAAGAGGATTCCCGAGTCTTCCCGGGCAGAATCCACGATGCCCGCAACACACCTGCCCGAGGGATAGTGGGCGTGCCCACGCCAAGAGCCCCTTTTCAGTGAAGGGCGGGAACTCTCGGTCTCCCTGCACAAGAAGGGAGAGCACAGCAGGTGATCGAGTCCTTCCCTGGCCCTGCTCCCAAGGGTTCTCAGACCACCCCCCTGGGCGGAAATCTCTCCAGCCTTTCCTCTTCCCCCCGCCCCCGCCCCCACTCGGTGGGTGTGGGCCAAAGGCTAAAGCTGGGGTCACTTGGAGGCCAGTGTCCACAGGTCTCCTGGGCACTAGCCAAAGGGTGGAAGCATTCAGTCCGGGGGCCTCAGCTTCCGATCTGCCAGGACTGCCAAAGAGGAGGGAAGGAGGAAGAGGCAGGCGGATCCGATCCTTGATGAAGATTTCGTTTCCTAATTTCCTAACTTGAGCCACCCACCGCCAGTGCGCTTAATGGCGCTTCTGGCCGAGCAACTGAGCTCTTTGGAGCGACTGACACAATGACCATCCCTAATAAATCCTGAATAACGAATACGCAAATCGACCGTCCTAATGAGGCGGGCCCACCGTAGTCTCCATAATGTAATATCGATCGGCTTCCCCGGCTCCGGCCTCAGCGGCTGCTCCCAGCTCTTCCAAGCTCCCTGCTAGTTCTCTCCTCCCGGCAGGAGCCACTGGAGACCAAAGCCCAGAACGACGGTCGGAGTTGGCGGGCACCAGCGGCCTTTGCGCTCGCCGGGGCGAGCGAAGCGCACCAACAGTGCAGAGCTCAGAGCGCGATCGGCGTGCGGGCGAAAAATGCGGGAATCAGTGCCCCGCAGAGAAAAAGCGCGGGCCCACTTCCGAGCCCCGGCGCCCCGTTTTCTAATGCATTCGGGTCTCTCGCCTTCAGCCTGAGCTGCTGTCCTCATCTTGCCTCCCGGCCCAGGTTGCGCCCCGTTCTTCGCCCAAGCACACCTAGGCGCCAGCCTCCACCACAGCAAACGAGCCCCGGCCGCGAGACGTCCCCCCAGGCCTCTGCCTCCGTCCTCCCGGCAGTTGGCGCCCCCGAAGCGGCCGGGTTGGGTACCGGACGCAGCGTTTTAGAACTGGTGATCGGGTGGCTGAGGGGGTCAGGGGGTGGGAAGGAGTCGCTCGTTCTCACTCATGCAGTTATTAATTTCAAGGGAGTGTCACTTAGAGTGAATGAAAACAACCCGGACGCGTGGCCAGAGGCGTCGCGTCCCCCGCCCGAGCACAGCGCCCTTTGGTCGAGGCCGAGACGTGGAGGACTGCAGAGCGAGTCACATTTCAGCCGAGTCCTCATCTCACCAGTTTCCAGGCGCCCCAGCTAGGGGCGAGGATCGCAGGGTCTGGGGGAAAGGGGGGCACACACATATTTTGGGGGCAGAGGTTACTTGAGGAGGGTTAACAGAGGAGAGGACTCATCCTCCAGGGTCAGGGGCTGGTGGGAAGAGTGAGGTCGTAGTCTAGTTTTGGGGGGCCCAGCACCGCGTTGGGGGGGCAGCCGCGTTAGCCTCTCCCCCACCTCCTCTTCCCCTCTCCGCAAACACCCTGAAGGAATGAGGTCACGTGGGTGAGTAGTGGGCGGGACCTACTCTTGTCTGGAGGAAAAAAGCCATTTTGTCCCCCCCCTCCGAGTCCCGGTCCCTCCCCTCCCCCCTCCGTCCCCTCCCCTCCCCTCTCTCCCTCCCACCCCAAACCGCTTTCACAAACTCCTTTCTTACCGTAGGTTTCTCCCCTCCCGCCGCCCGAGCGAGCGACAGGGCTGCGGCCCCCCTCCCCTCCCTTCCCTCCCTCCCTCCCATCCCCCCCTCCCCGAGACCCACCGGACCCCGAACCCAGGTAAGCGGACGCAGTCTCCTCTCCTTCTCCAACCCTGTAACCATCTGGGGACTGGGACGCGGGCCGGCACATCCTTCTTTACCAACCCCTGCCCGGGGAGGCTCTGAGCCCGGCCTGGTCTCGCGTCGCCGCCCCACCCCCGCCGGCCCTTCTCCTAGCTCGCCCCGTCCGCCTTTCTTTCTCCCTTTTTTCTCTCCCCTTTTCCTTTTCCTCCCTTCCAAGATGGCCGAAGTGGGCTCCCCCCTTTAACGGTTTGGCGTCTCCTCGACCACCACCTCTTTGTGCTGCAGCCCCCCTAGACCCTGCTCCCGAGGTAGCGAGGGGGAGGGTCCGAGGCCACCGCAGGGCTTTGGGGCTCCGCGCTGGGGCGGATCTCTGCTCCCCTAGCCCCCCTGGCCCTCCCCACGGGCCAGAGCAGCCCCTGGCTCTCCCCCTGTACTCCTTTCGATCTGGGGAGGGGTCGCTCTCGGTTTCTCCCGTGGGCACTGAGGCGTTGTGGACGCGCGAGGACTCGAAGCCGGGAGGAAGGGGACCAGCTTTTCGATCGCGGCGGGGCCGGAGGAGGGCGCTCTTTCCTGCCGGGCCCCGTCCTCTCGGGCACCTCCCCCCGTCGCTCCCCTTTCCCCCCCATCCCGGGACTGGGCGCCCCGCCCCCTCCCCGAACCACCTCAGCGGAGCCTCTTTCTCCGGAACACCCCTCCTTGGGGCCCCGCCGAAAGTTTGGCTCCAGGGAAGGTAGGAGCTGCCACCCGTAACTGGGGCCTCTGATCGTCTGACCCAGGCTCCTGGGGAAGCCGGGGTGGAGGGGTAGAAGGAAGAGGGGGAAGATTTATCGCGATATTTCCTGTCGCCCGCAGAGGCAGGAGGGGTTTGGCCGACTGGCCCCACTTGCACTGGGTAGCCCGGCTGCCCCTCCCTCCCTAGGTCCTCTTGCTTCTAGTTCTAAGGGGGTGGAACCCCTCAACTAGCAGACAGCCCTGCCCCCCCGTCTCCCCGGGGGGGCCCAGGCATGCCTCTCTCCCTCCCCCACTACCCCTATCTGCCCAGAATTGCTCCGGATGGCTTGAGATAGGGGAGGAGGCCTGGGGATGGCGAATTTTTCTGTAAATATTGTGGAGGCGTTGCCCCGCGCTTCCCCCTGGTCTTTGTCTCTGAGACCCCCCGCATCTCCCGCCGCGCTGCCTTAGTCTCCTGGGCTCCCTGAGGCTGGGGTGGGGTGGGGAGGGGGTCTCCTGGTTGTCCTTCACTCCGTTCTTAAGCCTCCTTCTCTGGGCCTCTTGCAGTTTGTTCCTGAAACTCTCGTTTCTCTTCTTCCCCCGCCCCCCCCCCCCCACACTCTGTTCCAAGGTGTTAGTACTTGGAGAAGGAGCATAAAGAAAGCTCTGTTATAGCTTTCTGGTGGGGAGGTTTTCCCAGGGGTTTCTTGGCTTGGAGTTGGGGGTTGAGGTCTTAGAGCTGTCTTTGGAATAATGCAGGGAACAGGCCCGAGGTAAGACTCAAGACTTGGGATCCAGAAAGAGTGTAGCTGGGTGGGGTTCAAGTTGAAGTCTTTTAGGGGGGTGCTCTCTGCTGCTCCTGGTCTTCCCTGGAAGATCTTGGTTGATGGAGCTGTTGCCATGGGAATGGAGAGAGCCTGAACAGGAAGAGGTGACATCTTTGTGCAGGTTGGATCCCACCCCACTCTTCCAGCCTCTGGCCCCCCGAGTGGAGGTTGGGAGCCGTACTGCCTTTGTTGCCGGAAGAGTTATATTATAATTTACCCTGGGTAGACCGGGGATGCACAAAAGTTAGTGTGTTTTTGCAGCTCTGGTTTCAGGCAGGGATGTCAGACTGTGTGCTTCTTGGGGTGGGTGGGAGTGGTTTGTACATCTGGCAAGCGTGGGCCTGGCTCTGGTCTGGCTCTATGTGTGATGGGGTGTGTCTGTGTGTATGTCTGGCCAAGTGTCTGGCTGTGTATGTTGTGAGTGGGAGAGAAAAAAATGGAGGGGGTGTGTCTGGCTGTGTGTGTGCATATGTGTGTGTGTATCTGGCAGTGTGTAACTGTGTATATTTTGGATATTTGTCTTTGTTTGATCTTAGGATGCTGAGCAGTGGGAAGGGGAGGGAGGGTAGAGTGAGCCCGGCTTCGGGAGACTAGAGGACTCTTTCGATGCTTCTGGCAGGAGGAGCACTCAGGGTCAGGGATCAGGGAACACTCAGAGTTTGAGTGTCCCAGGCAGACCTCCACCCCCGGCTCTCTCTGCACACACGCAAATCCGCAGGCTTCCACAGCTGAACCCGCAGAGCTGGGAGAGGGATGGACTTCTGGAATCCAGAGCTTCCATACAGCCTGCTTCACTACCTGTATGAGGGAAGTTGGGTGAGGCCATTATCCTCTGCCCACTCTTCCTACTTCAAAGAGAGACTGTGTCCGCATGGTTATGTTTTGACCCTGACGGCTCACTGAATGGTCTTCTGATGGAACCTGGAGTCCTTCTGCCTTCTGCCTGCCTGAATGGAATCAGACCAGGCTTATTGATTCCTTAAATGAGTGGGAAGCCTAGCATGGGTGCCAGTCTGTAAAGAGAACTGGAATAGGAGTCAGGCTGTGTCTAGTCCTAGGACTGCCACTGGGTGACCACTTGACCTGAGACAAGTCACCTCTTTCTGAGCGTCTTCATCTGTAAAGTGAAGGGACTGGACAAGATGCTTTCTAAGATCCCTTCCACTTCTGTGATTTTAGATGTCTGGATGTGACCTCAAGTGACTCTTCCCAAGACGTGGAGATTTTCTAGTAAGGGAGTTGGGTGGATTTCATGTGGGGGGAAAGCAGAGCAAAGAATCCTATAGCTGAGAATCTGAAGGAGCAGAAGGTGATCTCTGGGTTATCAAAGATTGGCTATTTCTCGGGGAAAAAGAAAAAAAACAAACAAACCCGACAAAGAAGTCTGAATTAGAGGGGAGCTTCCAGAAAAAGCCTGGTTAGAATGGAGATATGGGGGGTTGGTTCAGTGAGTAGGAGGCTTTGAGAAAGGGTAAAGACTCATGCCAGACTTGGATGACACGAAGGAGTTGGGGTTGAGTCCTGGGTGCTGATCAAGCTCCTTTGCTGCCACTGTAGCTGAAACCTGGGGGCCAGGATCAAGGACTGTTCCATCATCATGGGGACAGACGGTATTGAAGGACTTGGCCCCCAGTTGAGGGTGGGAAACGGTGCTTAGATTCACTGTGGGGATGTGGTTGGAACTGGCCCCCAAAGTTCCACAGGGCCACTTCCAAATGGCGCGGTCTCCCTTTTCTGCTTCTTGGGACTTGTCTCTTCCTCTCTTTCTCCCTTAGGCTCTGCCCTAAGGTGATGGGAGCTGGAGGTCCAGCCAGTTGTAGCTGGGGACGAGCTAGGTGTCAGGTGTGAGGCTCTGAGGCCTCATGGGGGGAGAAAGACAAGGAGGGTGAGGGAACTGAGCTCCTGTTTACAGTTGTTCTAGGCACCTGCTGCCAGGGCCCTGCAGGTAACCATGGCAATCAGGTGAGGAGCCAATCAGTGCTTCTCCCCACCTCCAGCCCCAGAGGTAACTGTCTGAGGCCCCTGGAGATGGGAGAGGGGAGCAGGGAGTGTGGCAAGGGGGCTCATTTCTTAAAGCGAGAGGGAGGAACATTTCACTCAATAAGCACCACAGCTCTTGCCTTCACCCATGCATCCAGAACAGAGCTCGACGGGTAGTCTTGGTCTGAATTCTCATGAGCGCTTGCAGAAGTAAAGAGGGTGAGCGTCACTGAGCTCCTGCATGTTGAGGCCACAGTTGGCCTGGCAGGACCTGAATGAATGGGAGGATGGGAACTCTTTTTGTTTTGGCTGTGCCTTGCAGCACGCGAGTAGTTCCCCCATCAGAGATGGAGCTCACGCCCCCTGCAGTAGAAGCGCGGTCTTAACCACTGGGCCACCAGGGAGGTCCCTGGAAGGGAGTTCTTAAGAGCCAAGTGTCTGTTTTGGAAACACAGTGAATATGTGAATGAGGTGGCTAAGGCAGTGTGAAGCGCCCACATGTGTATGTGTGAAAGAGGAAGAGAGAAGAGGGCATGAGATTTGCCAGCAGCAATCTAGACCCTTGGGCTTCCCTGGTGGCGCAGACGGTAAAGAATCCGCCTGCAATGCAGAAGACCTGGGTTTAATTCCTGGGTTGGGCAGATCCCCTGGAGGAGGACATGGCAATCCACTCTAGTATTCTTGCTTGGAGAATCCCCATGGACAGAGGAGCCTGGTGGGCTGCAGTCCATGGGGTCACAAAGAGTCAGGCACAACTGAGCGACTTAAGTACACACAGTCTGGACCCTTAGCATTAGCAGATCCCCGAAGTTTTCTTCCTGGCTGTGTACACAGACACACACACACACACACACACACACACACACACACAGTCACATGAAGTACCTTTGGAGGCCCAGAGCATGTACACACCGCATGGATATTATACACACTCAGCGAATTAGCCACTTGGAGTCTGTTCCCTCCTCTGGATGGTTGTAATAATATTTGGGCATCTTGCCAGGGATGGGAAGATGGGAACAACCAAACAGTATAGTAGCCAGCAAGGTTTCTACATAATTATGAAGGGGGGACCCATGCAGGGAGGGCTGGCTGAGGGGGCGGAGACCCCTTTCCTTCCTCAGGCAGGTCTGGGCCGCTGCATGCATGCTGGCTCTGGGCTTGTGTGTTCCCTTCTGTCTGCCCTGCAGCTTGGTGTCTCTCCCACATGTGGTCTTTGTGTCTCTCCCTCTCTTTTGGTCTCTGGACAGCCTCTGTTGGCTGTTTGGGTCCTGGCCAAACTCATCCTGGGGTCTCTATAGTAACTGCTGATTCCCAGCTGTGAATTTCGGGTCCTAGAAAACCCAATGTGTTGGCTTTAGAAATCTTTCTGGAAAGGAGAGAAGGATGTATGTTGTAAAAGAGCTCTGGGGGTTTGGCTGCCCTCCCAGGCCCCGCCCCATGGGCTTTTCTCTGGGAAAGAGGAGGGAGGTACCGTGGCTGCTGGGTACAGGTTGGATTTCTGAACTAAGAAGTAAGCACATCAGTCCAGACCTGGGCTTTGCCTGTCCTCCCTGGACTGAGGGCCTGGCTGGGCGCTTGGTGGGCTGTGGACAGAACTTTCTGCCCGGCTTCGGCAGGCCTCTCTGAGAGCTTGTGGCCAGGTCGTGGATGGGAGAAGATGGGCGGGTGGCAGTGCCCACATGCGGAGATTCCCGAGTGTGCCTGGGAGGAGCGCCATGCAGCAGGCCATCCATCGGGGCACGTGGTGGCCTCCCTATAGAAGCCGCAGTAGCAGTCGCTTTGCCCAGACTCTTTGCAGTTACCTGCAGAGTCCAAGGCTGGGCCGGGGGTCAGGCTGGAGCTGTGTGTTCCCAACTTTGGGGGCCTAAGGACCATCCTCAGTATTTCCTGCTTGAGCTCCAGGCCTAGAACCTGTGTGGTCAGCATGTGGTGTGTTTCCAAGGGGCTGCTCCGGGGCCGGGCCAGAGCCCAGGGACAATTGGTGGGATGCCCCCTTCAGACTTAGGGTGTTCATTCCCCCAGTGTTTCCATGGAAGGAGGCTTCCTGGAGCAGTGATGGGAGGAAGGAAGGTAGGATGGAGTAGAAAGACCCAATCAGGAGGCTGAGTTTCCTCGTAGCTCCCAGGGAGTTCACTTGTATGTATATGGATTGGGGTTGGGGAGATTTTTAAAAACTCTGTTCGCGTCCATTTTCCCGCATCCCCACATCCTCTGGAGAGTTGAGTGGTACTTCTGTGGTCTAACTTCAGTCTTTCTGCTGCTCCTGAGATAGAACCTGAGCTTGTTGCTCAAGGTCATAGGAACCTCCAGAGCCCTCAGTGAACACGCAGAGCGGGTCAGAAAGAACCACCCGAGTCTGGCTTTGGAGGGAGAGGAGGGGGCCACGGGCCCAGGGAGAGATGTCGCCTGTGGGGCAGGTAGAGTACAATGTGGGAGGAGCTCTTGGATCCCGGGGGTCCTGATTCCATGTTTTATTTCCCAGGGTGACGCCCCCACCCCAGCATCATGCATCGGACCACACGGATCAAAATTACCGAGCTGAATCCTCACCTCATGTGCGCCCTCTGTGGGGGGTACTTCATAGATGCCACTACCATCGTGGAGTGCTTGCATTCCTGTGAGTTGGGGTCAAGGGCTGCTCCTGGGGTAGGTGGCCTCTGCCTTGAAGAGCAGTCGTGTCCATGTGTCTGGTGAGGGTCCCAGGTCAAAGAGAGACTGCCTGGGAGGAGACTGCAGGGTTCAGCCCAGGAGTTCATTTGGGAGACTTTTACCTGAAATCTCTATTCCCTCCTTGAGTCTCTGTGGATGACACTGCACCCCATGAATACAAGGTGCCCTGGTGTGCACCACAGGCTTGTGACTAGCAGTCAGGGAACTGGGAGGTATCTAGTAGGTTGGCTGTTGATTTGTTCTACAAGGGGGTTTGGAACTTGGGGCTCACCTTCTGCATGATACTCAACACTGGCTTCATGCACACACACACATCTTTTCTTCCCCAAGGATGGATAAGGGGCAGTTGCCATCTGCAGAGCAGGGCTGCATTGGGTCTCTGAAAGGGCCTGAGCTGCAGGAACATGGTGGACAAGAGGGGATACCTCAACCTGGGCAGGGAGTGTGGGGGCTGATCCTGGGTTACAGAGGGGACTGACTCTTCCTCCTCTCTCCACACCCCCGAAGTCTGCAAAACCTGCATCGTGCGCTACCTGGAGACCAACAAGTACTGCCCCATGTGCGATGTGCAGGTCCATAAAACCCGGCCGCTGCTGAGCATCAGGTGGGCCCAGCATTTCCTCCTGCTCCCTCCCATCCTCTGGGGCAGCTGCCCTCTGTCCCCTCCCTCCTTGCATCCTGAAGTCAGGGTGGCAGGTGGGGGAGGAGCATCGGGCATGGACTGTCCCTTGGGGATGATGTATCCAGCTGAGAAATTCTAGAGAGGTAGAGACGGGGCCTACAGGAACCCTCATGCCTGGGCCTTGGATCTCAGCAAGAGAGTTGGGAAGAAGGAGCCTAGGCTGGAGAGTCAGGGTGAGGTGGTTGCCGACTGGCTCCTGTGTGCTTTTTTTCAGATCTGACAAAACCCTTCAAGACATTGTCTACAAATTGGTCCCTGGGCTTTTTAAAGGTACCTCACCCTGTGTCCCCCTGCCACCAGCCCTCACTGCCCAGCCTATTGCTTTCCCTGAGCCTGCTCCCTCTCTTCCAGATGAGATGAAACGGCGGCGGGATTTCTATGCAGCCTACCCCCTGACAGAAGGTGAGTGTGTTCACGTGTGTGCGCACACGCGGCCCGCCCCCTGGCACCAGGGCCAGAGGCATGGAAGGCCAGTGGGCAGCATTGCGCTGCCTCCCAGCCCAGGGTTGGGGGAGACTGGGCTCACTGCACTGAGCTCTGAGATCCCTGGGCTGATGGAGGGTTCCTCTCCCTGCTCCTAAGCTAAGCCTTCCCAGCTCCCTCCTTCCGCAGTCCCCAACGGCTCCAACGAGGACCGTGGTGAGGTTCTGGAGCAGGAGAAGGGGGCTCTGAGCGACGACGAGATCGTCAGCCTCTCCATCGAGTTCTACGAAGGTGTCAGGCAAGTCTGGCCCACACCTGGCTCTTTCAGGGTCCTAGGCAGGTCTCTTCTCCCATGCCATCCCCATTCCCTGGGAGGAAAGGCCACTTCTGGGAGGGTCTTCCAGATGTTTGTGTGCTGTTAGGTCCTGCCTGCTGCAGGCTTTCCCTTGCTTCATTCCTTCTCCTTCTGCAGAGACCGGGAAGAGAAGAAGGGCCCCCTGGAGAATGGGGATGGCGACAAGGAGAAGGTGAGTGCTCGGGTCTGCCCGGGCGCAGAGTGTGGGCTGGGAGAGAGTGCCTGGGGTGGACCCCAGCCCTTGAGTGCCTCTTCCCCAGCAGACAGGCGTGCGCTTCCTGCGATGCCCAGCAGCCATGACTGTCATGCATCTTGCCAAGTTTCTCCGTAACAAGATGGACGTGCCCAGTAAGTACAAGGTGAGTCCCTGGCCCCTTTGAAACATGTGTCTTGTTTATGGATGTGTCTGACAGTCTCTGCATCCTAGTCATGGTTCATGGCTGGTTTGGTGTCACCAAGGACTTGCATGTTGTGTAACAGCCTGTGTAGAATGGTAACTGAAAACAAGATTCAGGTGGGGCAGTCTGCTTCTGCTGAAACCAGTGTGCAGAGGTGCATGGGACCAAGATAAGTGTGTGTGTGTACATGCTTGCATGCTTAGAACTATGGCAGAGCTGTGTGTAAAAAATTAGGGCCATATCTAGGGCCAGCTGGCTAATTTGAAATTTCAAGGAGCTTTAGGATATAGCTTCTCAAATCTGAACATGTGTATGATCCCCTAGAGGTCTTGTTAAAATGTAATTCTGACTGAGTAGACATTGCATTTCTAGCAAGCTCCCAGGTGCTTCTGGTCCATGGACTATTGAGGCTCTAGGACAGTAGAGCCCAAACTTTGTCACATGTCAGAATCACACGAGGAGTAATTTCTCAGGATTAAAGCTCAATTCACGTCATACCAGTGAAAACAATCTGTGGAGCAGGATCCAGGCACTGGTGTGATTCGACCTTGTGCCTTCTCCCTGGGGCCGTTTTTGTGTCTGTTAGCTCCTCTGGAGAACATGCCAGAGGTAGACACGGACCCAGAGCACTGTGTGGATGGCCGGGGATGGCTTGATGATGTGGGCATCTTCTCTGGATCCCTTCCCACCTGCTGGTCAGGAGTTAGGTTGAGACAACTCTGAGAGGAAGTCAGATGCACCGGGCAACCTCAGAGGGGTGAGGGATCACCTGCCCAGAGCCTCTTTGCCAAACAGCTGGAGCCTTAAGCCGTCTGCCCTTTCCTCCTCCAGGTGGAGGTTCTCTATGAGGATGAGCCACTGAAGGAATACTACACCCTCATGGACATCGCCTACATCTACCCCTGGCGGCGGGTGAGTGGGTGGGGTGGTATGAGACAGGGGACAGGGCTGGAGGGACCCTGGGCCAGCACGTGGGCCACCCTGCTCTAATCAGAGAGTTCATCCCTCGTCTCATGGGCTGGGCATGTCCAGGGTGGCCCTCCAGACCATCTCTCACTGATGACCTTCCATACTCAGGAGGAAAAATGGATCCTTGGGCAGACCGCATGTGCCGCTTTGGGTGGCCGTGGGGAGTAAACTTTGCCTTCTGCTCTCTGGCCTTCCTCTTGCCTTTTTTCTCTGTCTCTGGTCTGACACTCTCCTCCTCTCCCTCCTTGGTTGGTCAGTCCCATCTGTGTGTCTCGTCCTCCCTTTCTCCCTGTTTGGGCACTATGGGGTGAAGGTGGGTGGCTGCCCCATTAGCCTCTTTCTCCTGACACCCTTCCCTTCCCTTCTCCCTGCAGAACGGCCCTCTCCCCCTCAAGTATCGCGTCCAGCCAGCCTGCAAGCGACTCACCTTGCCCACAGCACCCACCCCCTCCGAGGGCACCAATACCAGCGGGGCATCCGAGTGTGAGTCAGTCAGTGACAAGGCTCCCAGCCCTGCAACCCTGCCGGCCACCTCCTCTTCCCTGCCCAGCCCAGCCACCCCCTCCCATGGCTCTCCCAGCTCCCATGGCCCCTCGGCCCCCCACCCCACCTCCCCCACTCCCCCTGTGACAGCCGGTGGGGCCACTGCAGCTGCCAACGGGGGCACCTCAAACTGCCTGCAGACACCATCCTCCACCAGCAGGGGGCGCAAGATGACTGTCAACGGAGCTCCTGTGCCCCCCTTAACTTGAGGAAAGGGACCCTCGCCCTCCTTTTCCAGCCATGCCTCTCCACCCCTCCACTTTTTCTGGGCCCCCTTTTCCACCTCTTCTATTTTCCCCAGCTCCTCCCACCTTAGGGGTGGGGGATGGGTTTTATAAATAAATCTATATATATATGTACATAGGAAAAACCAAATATACATACTTATTTTTTATGGACCAACCAGATTAATTTAAATGCCACAGGAAACAAACTTTATGTGTGTGTGTATGTGTGGGGGGTGGGGTGTTCATTTTTAGGGGGTCTTGTGGAATTCTCTCTGCTCTTTTTGGGGGTGCCTAGAGGTGGAATTGGAGGGGCCACTTGAGGCCCAGTATCACTCTGCCCCTTCCTCCTCCTATTTCCCAAGACATATGGGGTGCTGAGAGGCCCCCACCAACCCCCAAAGCTTTAGGCACAACTCTAACTGGCTGTGTATGGGGTCCTCTCTGTTTCTTGCCCCCTCTTGGCTGCTGTCCTACCGGTACCCTGACCAGTGCCCTTCCCCACCATTGTTGAATGTTCAGAGAATTGCAAAGACAGTGCCTTTTACAAATGCAGCCTACCCCCTGGTTTTGAGGAGCAAGTGGGCAGTGGAGAGGGCATCTCCCTTACCTCCTCCTCTTGCAGTGGAAACTTTGTATAAAGAATAGATAGTTTTGCCTTCCCCCTCCCCTCACCCCCAGTGCCCCCATGTGTGTGGCCTTTGCATCATTTATCTTGTGGAAAAGAAGATTCAGGCCACAGGAGGCCTCGGCCCTTGAACTTCCCCTGTGGTGTTAACATTGTGAACCGCTTCACTCCTTCTCCCCCACACCCCCCCAGGAGCCCGCACTACCAAGGCTGGTGGGGCAGTCTCGCTGGGGGCTGGCGTGGAGAGGTGGAGGCAGGGTGACCTCAGATAAGCACAGACCCCAGATTTGGCCAAAGGCAAACAGTCCTCTAGTCCCCTCCCCACCCGCAGCTGAGGCCAAGTCAGAAAAGAGCAACAGAGACATCTAAAAGCACAAGGAGACAGAAACCTGTAGGTCTGACCTCAGCTCCATCCTGAGAAGTCAAGTGGTCCACCCCCATGAGGGGTAGGTCCCAAGAGACCCCTGCCCCCCTGTTTTCCTCCAATGTACATAGATCGGATTGGGAGGGGAGGAGGCAGTACTCTATCACAACTGTGTGTTTGGGGCCGGGCATCCCCCAATGGGTTTGTCTGTGTTCACACCCTGTCCTATGTCTGAGGTGCTGTGGCTGTACCCTTCTGCCCTGGGATGTTTGTATCTCCTGGCTTTGTAATAAATGCTGCATACTCTCCGGAGCCTGTAGTTCTTTGGGACACAAGGGACAGGAAGGGTGGGCGGGGTCCTCTGGCCTCCTCTAGTCTCTGGGCTCATCCTGCTTTGCTGCTGCTACTGCTAAGTCGCTTCAGTCATGTCCAACTCTTTGCGACCCCATAGATGGCAGCCCACAGGCTCCATCGTCCCTGGGATTCTCCAGGCAAGAACACTGGAGTGGGCTGCCATTTCCTTCTCCAATGTGTGAAAGTGAAAAGTGAAAGTGAAGTCGCTCAGTCGTGTCTGACTCTTCCCAACCCCATGGACTGCAGCTTACCAGGCTCCTCCGTCCATGGGATTTTCCAGGCAAGAGTACTGGAGTGGGTCATCCTGCTTTGGGGTACCCCGTATGGAATGAACCTGAATTGTTTCCTCCCTGCAGCCAGTCTAGTATCGCCAGCCCAGGTTAAGATCCTGAAGGGGGATAGGTCTTGTCCCTCACACCTATGACCACAAGAACACCACTCTGGGCTAGCACGTCTATTTAATGCCATCTTCACCAGCAGGCATCAAAGCCAGGGCCTGTTCCCATCTGCCCCAGATTGGAGACCTTGGGTTATCGGAGCAAGCCCTTCATAAACCAGCTATGGGTGCTGGGATCCCTGGGGTGAGCCACCCCTCAGAGTGGGGAGCCCAGTTCTGCCTTCTGCACCTGTTCACTCTTGTGGGTACCGTCGCAGTATGGGGGCTTCTGGGTTGCCTTGCAGGTACAGAGCGCCACCATGCGGGTCTCCTGGGCCTTGAACTTCAGTGGGGATAGGCCAGTGCGTTTGAAGAAGTGGGAGCCATCACAGAAGGGCTAGTGAGGAAAAGAAAGAAGTCAGAGAGACCCAACCCCACCTGCTGGGGCAGGACAGCACTGGTAGGGGGACAGGTATCTGAGTGACACTGACCAACTTTTTTCATCTGTAATGTGACAGTAATCAGAGTAATCGCAAGAAATAAAATGCATAAAGGTTTATCATGCACTCTGCCAGTAGAAAAGTGTTCAGTAAGTATGTCCTTACAGGAATAGTTTCTGGGGGACCCAAGAAGAGAATTTTCAAAGCAAAATGGGCCCTTAAGGATGAGCAACTTTTATACTGATAATGGTTTTTTGGGTTTTTTTAATGGCTCTGATTCTCCATTGGTTCATGACATTCATTTTCTTTCCCATGGTCTTAAGGTACAAACTTCTGTGAGTGGGCTTTAAGACTGGGGTATCACTTTTGTTTGGCTCCAAAAAACAACTGGGCGTATTCTGGGGAGTGGATGTTGCGGGGAGGGGAGTGGAAGGAAGGGGAGATGGTGAGGTCCTACAGCAAACTGGCTGCCTGGTGTGAGCATCTATGCCCTTTCACCCCAGAAGGTGTTCCTACACAGCCTGAGTAATGGAAACAGGCCCAGACAGGTGGTTTGCTACTGAGTGGCAGAGCTGGAGCCAAGACCTCTTGCCCTTGGAGTGAGGGTGGGATAGGAGGGTGGATGGGAGAAGTGTGCAGATGAAAGTCAGCAAACTGGTCCCAGAGGGCAAGAGGCAGAGAGACACAAAGGGCCAGTCGGTACCAGGCCTCACGGGTAGGCAGCAGAGCGCCATGTTCATGAGGACCTGCTCAAAGTCCACAGCAAATTGGTGGCAAAGCAGGACTTCGGGCCCTGGGCTGCTGACACCACATCATGCAGTTTGGAGGAACACAGTTCTGAGCCAGCTCAGAAAGGAAAGGGGCCCCGGGGCTAAGAATGTGGGGCAGGTTCCTGAGGGGTGGAAGGCTCCTGGGGCAGGAGAGAGGGGAGCGGGCAGCCAGGATGACAAGACAGCAAGAAACCAGGGAAGTCACAGAAACTGAAAAAGGGAGAGTTTTCAGGATCAGACGCCAGGAAGGGCACACTTGGGACAGAGAGGCTGCTCAGAGTCTTCCGAATGTTGGGGGCTGAGGCCTGGGAACCCAGATGTTTCCCAGGAAGAAGAAGGAAAGAGGGGAGAGAGAGAGACAGGCAAGCCTTTCTGGGCAGAGCCCGCAGCCTCTCAAGAGTAAGGAGCACCGGAAGAGGACAGAACTCTGGTTCCACCGGCCTGGCCCTAGGACTGTTTCTATCTCTTTGTCTCCATCTTGAAGGGTGGATGCAGAGAACTGGGAGCTCTGGGCTGGCCTGAGAATATCCCCACCCCCACCCTCGTGGTCTCTCAGGTATCCGTGGGAAAAAGGAATGTCTTGAATGGGAGTTCCTGGGCCACACGTGGTGTCCCCAAACCACAGGTGTGATGGGGAGGGGGATACAGGTCTCTCACCTGCTTTTTGCTGCGGCCACACACACACCACCTGTAGGTTTTCCCAGCCACCAGCTCCACCTTGATGGGTGTTTTTAGGGCCACCACGGGCTTGGCTGGGGTTTTGGGGAACCATTGGGCCTGTGGCAGGGAAGATGAAAGGTCAGCTCATGCCTTGGAAGCACTTTCTGGCCTGTGGCCATGTCCAGCTTTCCCAGGGCCCAGGCTGGTGACAGGCATTCTCTGCAGGAGGCTGATCTGACTTCACCCTGCAAGGACCACCCCCTCCCCACCGTGAGGGCCCCTGAGCTGAGGATAGAGAAGAAATTTCAATACCATGAAACCACATAGGTTTCAGGGTCCAGGCTTTCCCTTCAAGCCCTGGCTCTCACCCTGGTGCCAGGGGTGGAGGGCCAGGATCCTGCCAGCCTTGGCGGAGCCAACGGCACCTGGGACTCGGTTTCTCAGGCACCGGGGTTGCTCATGCAGAAGCCTGCTCCCCGTCCTCTGCCGTCCGCCCTCACCCCATTTCCCCTGAGCCAGGGCGAGGCGGCTATAGACAAGGGAGTCTCAGGCTGGAGTTTACAGAGCAGGGCTGACCCATTCTGGTTTCCTCCTCCGGTCTCTACCTCGATGGTCTCTCTGGGCCTGGGGGACTCAGGTAGAGGGAAGGGGAAACAGGGTGGAGTTGGGGGGTAGGGCTTACCAGCCAGGAGGTGATGTCCCGTCTCTGGTTCAGCGTCTGCAAGGCAAGCAGGCATCCGCGGGGCGGTGATTTGGAAACAGAAAAATAAAATCAATGGAAAGCGGAAGACTTCAGAGGGAGGGAAGAGACCGCAGGGCTTAGGCGCGTTAGAAATACGAAGGTAATAAGCGCTCCCGAGAGAGGAACGGGAGTTGCTGGGGGAGGTGCTGGTACCCAACGGGCGCTCAGGGACGGCTGCAAAGCACCAGGCTACGCAGGGGTTTGGGGGAAGCTCAGCCGAGGGACAGGCTCGGAGAGGCGGGGCGATGAGCGGAGGATGCTGGAGCGGAGGACAGGGGAGGGCCCCGGCCGCGCGGGTGCTCACCCAGGCCGCCGGCCGCACGAGCTTCCCCAAGCCGCGCACGGAGCCCATGGCAGCCCCGCTGCCACCACTGCGCCACGCCGGCTCCACCTCGCGCCCCGGTCACCTTCCCGCTTCCCCGCCTCCCTCCGGCCCAGCCCCGCCTCGGCCCGGAAGACGCCGCGGGGTTTGCACGGTGCGGGCCGCGGGCCTGCGCGGGCCGTCCAGCCCCAGCTGCCGGAAGTCGGGCCGAGGAGCCGGCCCGACAGCCCCCTCGGAGCCCCCAGGGTGTGGAGGGCTCTCCGGCGCCCCCTTCGGTACCCGCGTGTCTGCGAAGGACCTGCGCGGAGCATCGCCGCTCGTTTCATTGCCTGCGCCTCCCGGCGACCCCCTCCCGCCTTGTGGGCCGGAATTCTGCCCGGACCGGGACCTTTTTCTCTTGCCGAACCTTAAGGCAGTGCTTCTAGAAGTGCGGTGTGGATATATCTCATCACTTATGGAGTTGTGGGTTTTTTTGTATTTTGTTTTTAATCAGATTCCGCCTGGCCCAGACCTACACATTACATTTTTATGCGTGGAGCAAAGGTATCTGATTTTCAATATGCAACCTGGGTATTTTGCGCATTTTGGTCTGTGAAGTACTATTCCAAGTACTTAAAGAAATGTTAGTAGACCATCTACCCACCCCCACCTCCATCCCCTCCCAAGGCTCCCACAGTTGGCCCTCCACCTCTCTTTCCCTTCAGTAAAGCCAGACAAACCAAGGTCTCTTTGGGTTTTTTTTTTTTTGTAAAACATTCTTTTATTAAAAGAACAAGTGCTGTTTACGAACTGCCCTTCGTACAAATAACATCCGTTATACAAAGATACAAGATCCGGGTTATGCACAATTCCAGGCTTGGAGGTGGCAGGGGAGGGGCATTGCCTTTTGGGTTGAGGATATAAAGGAGGCTTTACAAAGAATGTAAAAGTAGCTCCTGGGTTTGCAAACTGTGGCTTCCCCTCCCTGCTCCCCTAGGAAGGGTCTGCTACATTGAGAAAGGCTGGGGTGCAAAGAGGGGGACAGGCTGGGAGCCAGGGTTTGGGTCTCTAGTCCCACCACCTAAGTCCCAAGTTGGGCTGGAGGACGTGAACAAAGGGTGATGAAGGCACCCCTCAGTCACCAGCTTTTCAGTAGATCAAGTCAAAGGGACTGGGAGCCAGACACACTTTTAATCTGGACTGATATGATTGGAGGAAGCCAGGGTACTGCACCCCATTTTCCTACAGATTCCCAACTGAAGTGACCGCAAGCCCTCCAGGAAACTGGGATAAAGGAGAACTGGGAGCAAGCTGCCTACCCTTAACTCTGCTGACCACACACCAAGGCAGATGCTGGCAGGCAGAGCCCGTGTCTTTGAAAACTCTGCATTTCCAGTTCGGGAAAAGGCAGCGTGGAGGTCACCCTTTCTCAAGAGCTGGCGCTCTCTCTTTCCCAGACTCTGGCTCCCCTCACTGTCGAGGCCCTTCCTAGGAGTACTTCCCTAGAACTCAGGACAGGAATGGGCAGGCGTGCTCTCATCAGCCTCAAGGTAAGGGCACCTGGAGGCAGCAATAGACCTAGGAATCTGAAGGGAAAACACACACACATCGGAAAAACTTAGACAAGAAAAGGCAACCTTTAAAGTGTCATTGTCTCTGGAGAGGATCCATCAGCTCTGAGCTAAGTCAGTCAGTGCTTCACAGATACCCCCCACCCTGGGCATAGCCCTGCACTCACACCACACACCACACACACAGGGACAGACGGACAGCCACACGGAGGCAGTGCAGTGGGGCAGGAGAGCCAGGACCAGGAGGCCAGGGTCCTGAGGACTGGTCGCGGCTCTGCCCCTGAGCCCCTGCCCCCACTTCCTAGGCTTGGAGCTATCACCTGTGGGGCAAGGAGCTGGCTTGCAGGATCCTAAAGATAGGTCCCTTCCAGCTCTAACATTCATGCACTCATTGTGAGGCCAGACAGCGGCTCTGCACGCACACCGAACTCACACCTCCACACTGAAGGGGATGACATACTGAGCCCCACTCTGCAGTTTCAAACTCCACTTCCGCCCTGCAAACCACATCCTTCCCTTCCCCTAGACAGAGCCACCTATAAATCTGCATCCTTTCCTATTCCCCATCCAAATTCATCCTAGAAAAAGGGACTGAGGCTGGGAGCAGACGGTGGGGGCTCAAGAGCCATGCCCTTTGCACTGGGACCCTGCTCTGTCCAGAAGCCCTCCAGACCTTTCTTATTATAAAGCCCGCCCCCCCACCCTGAAAGAGGAGACCCACCACCTCTCTCTTGTCCCCCTGCCCCAAATTGAGGGACAGCACCAATCCATACGCAGCCTGGGGCCCTTCTTCAAATCTAACCTGCCTACCCGCCACTGCACCCCAGCCTGGGGAAAATCAGAAAACAGAGACTCTTGGAGATGAGAACCCCAGACTTTAGGGTGCTGGAGGGAAGGGGAGGTCTTGGTTCCAGGACCTCTCACTCTCTGCCACGGCAGTCTTGGGGTAAATGGACTTCCTTCACTGTCCAGAACAGAAGCTGACTTTGGTTCTAAGTGGGTCGGCCTTGGGCAAGAGCGTGGGTGTGAATGAGCAACTCTTCTAAGAATCTCTGAAGGTTACTTTTCTTTTCAGTGGTTTGGGGGCAGGGAGTTAGCTTAATAGATGAAGATGAATAAAATGCTGACTTCTATCATCCCTTTCTAACTGATATTTAGCATTAATAAAAAGTGAGTATTTCTGAGGTCATCACAACTGACTCCCCCCTCCCCCCAAGCCCTTGCAAGTGCCTAAGAAATTGCCTCTGAAGGATTCCCACCCACCCCCTCCATTATCAGCTCCCTAACATCTTACAAAGTCTTATCAACAGGAATATTAATATTATTTTCAGTATCAGAAAAAAACCAGTTGAGCAGCACAGGCAAAAATATATCTGCACTACGTTTCTGTCATTGCCAAAAATATACACATCTTTTCTTTATTAAAAAAAAAAACAAAAAGAAACAAAACCAACAACAACAGAAACCCAAACAGAAACCCACACACGCACACGAATCCACACATGCAAAGAGACTGACTAAACGCGGGCATCAGGAAGCTGGCCACGCTCCGCCCGACTCCGACCCCGGGGCACCGACACAGACACGCACTTCAACCTCGCACCTCTCCTGGCTGCCCTCGCAGCCCTTAGCCTCGGCCACCAGAGGCTCTGGGCAGGTGGGGACTCTAAGGTGAGACTTGCCCACTGCACCCCGGGGAAATAGCTGGTGGGTGAAGGGACAGTTGTTAGGTCAATTTAAGCTTAAGTCTCCCCTGGTTGGTGGGGGTGAGGAGGGGTAAGGTGCAGGGAGGCAGGCTGGCTGATTCTGGGAGGCAGTTTTCACTATAAGAAGTGGTACTTTACCCCCTCGCCTTGTCCCCTGGTCCCTAGGGCACCCCTTGTGCCAGGGAAGCAGGACCAACTATCAGTGGTGGAAGGGGAGCGCTGGGGGGGGGGGGGCACGGAGACCATGTGGAGTCTGGGGGAGGAAAGGCAGGATATTACCCTGATTTAAAGCCCCCAGCCCCCAGTTACTCTCCAATACTGGAGTACGGTTCTGGTTTTTGTTAACCATTCGGGCCCCAGAAAGGGACCAAAGTTGGTGAGGTGAGAGGGTGCCAACAAGAGCTAACAGCGCCCCTCTGGTACTGCCTCATCAGAGCACTACTCCTGTCCCTGCCTTTGGCTGCCTGGGGGCCAGGGGGAGACAGACAGACAGAGAGACAGACAGACAGACACACACACACACAGTGCACAGGCACACCCACACACGCTCTCTGAGTCAGGCAGCTCTATCTCCCCACCCTCGGCACTCCGAAATCCAATAGTGCAAACAAGGGGCAGGGTGCCAGGGGGCTGGGCTGCCCACCCCTGCCCTCCCCCAGCCCATCACAGGGACCCACCCCGCGGGAGGCAGGGAGGCCTGGGCCAAGTTTGATGCCATCCTGCCCCTTCTTTGGCCCCCCAGTCTGTGGGTTTTTACAAGCACAGCTTGTGACCCTTGGGGGGGCAGGGGAAGGAGCCCAGCAAGAAACAGTCCAAGGGAGCCCTCCTACCATCTGCCCAAGCTGGGTAGAAACTGGTCAAGTAGGGTCACCCCTTCTTCCATAAAAGACTTCCACGCAGGGGCAGGCCCAGGGCCTAGTCCCCACTTCTCCCACTCAAGTGCTGATCCATTTTATGTGGGGGGTTTAACCAACACCCCACTTATGCCATGGCCCACTTTTCTCTCTAGGGAACCCTGAAACATTCGCTGAGAGTGGGGGCTCCTAGGCGGGCTTGGAGCCTGTCCTGAGCCCCTCACAAAGGGGCCAATGCAGAGGCAGGGTGGGGGGGGCCAGATGGAAAGGGCTCCCCTCTGGGTCTCAATCCGCGGCATTGGGAGCACCCCCCACTCCCCAGGCCTCAGAACGTGCTCTGGGGCTCTCCAGTGTTGGGGTGCAGGTGCCCGCTGTAGGTTGGGACCCCTCAGACCAGGATCTGCCTCTCCGCTTGTGGGGTCTAAAGGAGTGTGGGTGGATTTAGCCTTTTTCCTGGTTGGCTGAGGCTCCTTTGTCAGCAGTCTGGAAAAAGAGGAAGGGAGACTGGGGATTGGGGAGGTATCTGGTCCGATCACCCAGTTGAGAATAGCTTCCTGGGTCAAGAAAGCTGATGTTGGGTGCAATAAGGGGCTGGGCTTTGACGGCTGCACACCAGGGTCAACTTCCGTGTATGTATGTGTCTGTTGGGAGAGTTGCCCTGCATAAGGCGCCCAGTTAAGCAGGCATGTGCCGGCCAAGGGCTCCCCAGGCTCTGGCTCTTTGCCCTCAGGAGGAGGGATGCCTTTCTTGAAATGCTCACCCAGAGCATCATCTTTTTCTAAATGGTCCAATCAGAGAGGAAACAGCCTTTTCTAACGAGTCTCTCCAGGAGAAAGGAGACAGGACGGTCCCTCTGCCCCACTCCCAGGCCCTCCCCTAAGCCAGACCCCTTACTCACCCCTCCTTTGGGGCCACTGGCACTGCCGTCTGCCCCTGACAGGCTGAGGAAAGGGTTAGTTTGGGCAGTGAGAACTGGAGGCCCGCCTGCTGCTGCTACTGCTGCGGCTGCAGCTGCTGCGGCCATGAGACTTGTGTTGTTGCCGAGTGAGGGCGCCACCAGGGCTCCGGCGGGCAGCAGAGGTGGGGCAGATGCTGTGGGCAGCAGGCCAGGGGTGCCCGCAGACAACAGCGGGGTGGAGCTTCCGGCCAGCAGGCTGGCCATGGGCAGCTGGGAGCCCCCGGCCATCTGCAGCCGCTGCAGCTCCCGCTTCTGCTGGATCTGCTGGATCATCTGGTAGACAACAGTCTGGTGTTCCTGCGAGGGGGCCAGATGGCTTACTGGCCAGTGGTCCCCAGGGTCATCTTACCCTGATTGGCCTGGGCCCCATCCCATCTCACTAGTACCATGAGGCAAGAGACCCAGGAGACAGTCAAGGTCCCATCTCTAACTCCCTACTCTGGGCCTCAGTCTCCCCATCTGGACAAGAAAGTGGTTGCACACCATCAGTGTTTGTCAGCTGGGGTACAACCAGTCAAGTGCAGGAGGATTATCATCCCTCCCCCACCCCCACTAAGTCAATTCCTCAGTCGTTATGACAAACACAAATGTCCCCAGGGGTGGCATGACCCCAAGTTGAGGAAAACTGAATGAGGTTAATAGTTTTCAACTTCTCTATTTTTTTTCACTCATTTATTTTTGCTTTGAATAGACAAAGCATTCTCAGTGTTCCAAAACCCAAAATAATTTCTCAAGGCTTAAGAAATCTTGCTATCTTATTCCTGCTACCATCTGGCCTCTGTAGGTAACCAGTCGAGCTAGTTTATTGTATATCTTTCTCATGTTCCTTTATATAAAAATGAGTGCTTTTCTATTTTTTTCAACTCTCTCCTTTTTATTTTTAAGTTTTTATCTTTTGGCTGCATCGCATGGCAGGTGGGATCTTAGTTCCCTGACCAGGAATTGAACCTGCACCTTCTGCATTGGCAGCAAAGAGTCTTAACCACTAGACCACCAGCAAAGTCCCAACAATTCCCTTCTTTCTAGAAGGAAGAATTCCTTTTCTCCTAGGAATTCTTAGGAGAACTCAACAAACAAGAAAGACCTAAAAGGGGCTGCTCTGGTTGAGGACGTGTCTGTCACCTGCTCAGCCACCCCTCTGTGCAGACCCTGAAGTTCCCCACTGAAGAGCCTTGGGGCTGGGACTGGAAATGCTCACTAACTGAGGGCTCACCTCCCTCCAGATCCTCTTGCTGGGATGTGATCCAGGGCCACTATAGCATTCCTTCCCCAGCACCCAGGGGCCCCCAAGAGGAACCCTTATGCCCTTTGTCCTCACATGATCCATAGGGGCCCAGCCCCACTCCCACAGGGGCAGTCTCACCTTCCCAGCCTGGGGCTCCCTCCCCAGCCGGGGGCTGCCCTCCCCAGGCCGGCCCAGACCCTCTGAGACCTTTCGGGCAGAGCTGGGGGAGGGGCATTACCGGGGTCAGCTGTGGGGAGGCCAGGAGCTGCTGGAGCTGCTGGAGCTGCTGTTCCTGCTGCTGCAGGAGGTGTCGCTGCTGCTCGGTGAGGCTGAGGCAGGGGGACAAAACAGACCATGGGAAGGGCCAGGGCAACACTCCGCCCTGCCCCCGAAGTTCCCACTCCCCCTCAGGCCCAGGTGGAGAGAGAACAGACTGAGCTCCAGAGGACGGCGGAAGGAGACACGTGAGCTGGGAAAATTTCCCCAGAGGGAAACGTCAGCTAGGGCGCAAGGGGTAAACAGATGACTTTTGTCCCTGAAGAGCTGCCATCCAGAGGGCTCTCACGTCTGCATCCAAGGAGAAGCTGGGGCTGAGCCCTTCTGAGGGACTGTGGGTGTTGGTGGGGGGTCCCTCCCAGAGCCAGCCTCCCCGTCCCCTTCCCCAGCTGCGCTCTCCCTCACCTGTTGAGACAACCTGGCAGCTGTAGCGTGGGGGCGCCGCCAGCCTGGCTCAAGCCTGCAGGGTTGGGGGCGGCAGCCCCATTCAACCCCCCCAGGAGCCCATTGAGCGGCAGGGCCCCGCTGCCCGCCAGCCCCCCCAGCAGCCCCTCAGCCATGGGCATGGCCCCCAGCCCCGCTGCCCCGGGTGCCCGGCCTAGCCCATTCTGTGGCTGAGGCGGGAGCGGGGCAGGGCCCCCAGGGAGGGCCAGGGGCAGAGTAGCAGGGCTCTGCTGGAGCAGGGGCAGCGGTGGGGGCGTGCTGTGGAAGGACAGCGACGAGCTGCTGCGGCTCGGGCAGCCTGAGTGTGGGTCCTGGGGAGGGAGGGGGAAGGGAGGGGTCAGAGGGGCAGGGGGCCAGCGTGACCTTTCTGGCCCCCGGCCCAGCACCCACCAGCATTCTCACATGGTCACCCCCACTTTACTCCCAAGCAAAGCCACCCAGGAGGAAGAAGCAATGCCCAGGGATAAAGGCTAAGAATCCAAACAGTCTTCACAAATCACTTCCTGGGGCCCCAGCACCCACCATGATGCCAGTTTAACACTGAAGAGTGAAGTTGGTATAGTGACCACCTAGTGAATCAGACCCAAGGTTCAGTGCTTGACCTGTACTAACTTGCTACTGATGTTTATGGGTGAAACCACTGGGTCTTAGGCTCAGTAACTCTGCAGGCAGTTGAACTGAAAGACGGGCTCAAATCCCATGCCCACAATTTAATGGTTTTGGTGGCTCTTCTGTTTCAGTTTCCTTATTCATAACACGGGGCTAATAGGAGAACCTATTCCATAAACGTCTTGTGAGGACTAAACACACCAACGCTTGAAAAGTCTCAGGCCAGGACATGACAAAGGGCAAGGATGCAATTAATGTTTGCTGTTATTATGATTATTATTGCCCAAGTCACACAGTAAGTGGTAGGGAGAACAAGAACCCACTTTGTTTAATTTCAATAATAACCACAGCATAATAATAGCAACTGCTACCCCAACCACCACCAAATTACACAGGGATTGTTTTCTGTGTGGCTAAAATAAATTGTAGTAAACTCTTCACAAACACTTTTCAGAGCTGCCTTTCCTAACCACCTTACACCCAGAGAAAAATCCCACCCTCCTTCTTTCTCATACCCCTCAAATGATTTCCATCTTAGCACTTATCTCTATTTGTAATTATTGATTTCCTTGAATTGAGCCTGTCTCCAAGAGCAGGACTCTGTTCAGTTTGCTCACTGCTTGCTTAGCCAATGACTGGACTTAAGTAGGCACCTCCTAATTATCACTTATTTAGTAAAGGAATGAAAGGGTCAGTCGACCAAATTACTCGGCCAATCGCTTCACTGCCCAGCCTCCGACAGCCCAGCAAGGTGGAAACGCGACTAGGAGGCCCTTGAACCTCCCCGCTCCAGCCCCCCCGCCCCTTGCCCCTCCCCATGGCGCTCACCTCGGAAGACGTGGACAGCGAGTTGTCCAGGCCCAGACTGTTCTTCCCCGGAGGGCTTTTGCTGGTGCTCAAGGAATCGCTGCTGCCGGCTTAGGAAGGGAGATCAGAGAAGGAGCTCAGCGGCTGGAGTCCGGGCCAGTTCCAACTGCAGAGCGGAGGCCCCCATTCCCGGCCTGGGTGGGGGCCCCTTACCTTGGGGAGGCAGGCCATAGGGCCCAGGGACAGGGCCGTTGGTGGCAGGCAGAGCGGCAGGCAGGGCGGCGAAGGGCACAGAGAGTTGCACGTTGAGAATCTGCAGTCGCTCCTTCTTGGCCGTAAGGCTCAGGATCTGCTCCTGAAGCCGCTGGTTTTCCTTCTGCAGCGCGTGCAGCGCCTTCAGCATCTCCACGACTGCAGACAGAGGGCGAGAGCGCTTGAGCCCCGCGGGCCTGGGAAGGAGGGGCGATGGCTGGGGCGGGGCCAGGTGACCAGGGGCGGGGCCTGGCAAAGGAACCAGGACCGAGACCTAGCAGAGAAGGCTCCGGCTAGCCAGAGACTCAGGTGAGTCCTGGGGAGCCAGAGGTGTGAGGACCACAGGTGGGGCCTAAAGCTCGGGGTGGAAGCCCAGTGCTTGGAGGGAAAGGGCGGTCGGAAGTTGGGGCTTAAGTTAGATCAGGGCCACGAGGTCGTGAGGGCCAACAGCCGGGCGTAGAGGGGGCGGGGCCTGGAGCAGGTCCCAGCGAGGGTTAAAGGCTAGGCCTGGGCTGGGTCACAGTTAAGGCAGGGGCGTGGCCGCAGGAGGAACCTTAAAAGACCTCTGGGGACCTCGGGAGAAAGGTGATCGAGTTTGGGGGTCCTAGGACAGTCACCCAGCCCGATGTCACCCTTTCTCACTGTTGACGCCGGCCTCGCCGTCGCCCTGCTTCTCCAGCAGCTGCTCCATGTTAGTCGTTCCGGGGGCCGCTGGGTCTAACTGGCCGCCCCCGCAGGGTGCGGACGCCGTCTGGTCGAAGAGTGTCGGGAGGCTGCTGATGGGGGACCTGGGGTCAGAAGGGAAAACGGGCTCAGACTAACCTTACTCCCCCACTCCAGTCTCCCTGCCCTTCTCCCGCCTCGCGGGTTTCAGTTACCCGCTCTGGATCCCACCTCTCCGCGCGCCTGCCTCTTCGCACCGCGCCCCCCCCCCCCACCTTGGATTCCTCCGCCCAGCTCCCAGCTCTCCCTCTGCCCCCCTCTCCCTCACATGGAAGACAGACTCTCCTGGGGTGAGGTCCCCCGACATCGGAAGCTGCAGTCCTCCAGGTCTGGCTCTTGGAAGGAGAAGGGAGGCAGGGATCAGCGAGAAAGAGGTGCAGTCGGCCCCAAAGTCCCCGCCTGAGAAGTGGGTGCAGATCTGGGACCTTACCGCCGACCTCTTTTCCCAGGATCTCCCAACCCCCAGACAGGCAGTTCTAGTTCTTGGGAGCCCTGGTTTGAAAACCCAGCCCCTGGGGAGGCAAAATCATGAAATCTCTTCCTCCTCCTCTAGGCATAAAGGCTCCTGCATCCTTGCTACTTTCAGCTTCTCCTACCAACTTTTTTTTCCTGGGAAATTTATAACTTCATAGTCATAGAAACTTGGGGCCTAGACAGTCATGAGTTGAACTTGGATACTTGCTATGTGACCGCGGGCTTAAAACTAACTTCTCCGAAGTGATTGTTATGAAGTAATAAGGTAATAAATGTGAAGTGTTAAGCTGAACAGTTTAGCTGCCATGTAGCAAGCCCTTAATTACTGTAGCTATTATAATCAGTTTTATATGACTTTTATATTAATAAACTCAATTAGATCGCAAAACCCTATGTTGAGCCACAAAATTCCAATTTGGGTTTTGGAAAATAGTCATCTACTCTGTACATTCTTAATTTTGGAGTCAGATTCGCCCCCTTTAAGGCTTACCTGAAGTGGTAAGCCCCGCCCCTCAACCAGCCAGGTGGTACCTCTGCACCAATCAGCTTTCTAGGGCTGTGTTCACTCTACTTGGAGAGGGAGGAGTGCTTGCGATCCGCCCCCTTAACTCCTGAATACCCAGAGAGCCGGTTGCCAAACTAGTGGGATCTCTATAATCGCCATTCCCGAGAACTCACTAAGCGGCCAGCAGGGAGCTTTGCTACAGTGGTAGAAGAACTAGTCTTGGAGCCAGGGAGTCAGAATTATAGCCGCTGCTCTGCCTTTGCCTACTTCAACTGCCTTGAGCAAGTCATTCATCTCTCTTGCCTTTTGCTTTTGTGAGATGGAGTAGTAGTAATTCTTCCAGGTCATGCCCCAGCGCCTAAGGGGGTTTTGATGTGAAAGTGATGTACCCTGGTTTGTTGTATATGGAATGTTTTTTGCAGGGTCAGCAATGGCCAGAGGGTGGGGGATAGCCAGAAAGCCCTCTAGTCCTTTCTGGGTTGACAAGCCAGTGACGGGTGCCCCTTCGGGAAGAAAGGGGAACAGGGTCAGAGACTCACGTACCTGTGTGGCTGCTTTCGGCTTGGGTGAGGAGGGGGTTAACGGCACCCATGGGGGTTCCAAAGATGTGGGTAGAAGGGAGGCTAAAGGTAGAGCCAGCCAGAGAAAACACCTGAGGGAAAGGAGGTAGAGTCCAGCCTGGTGGTTATTCCTGGATCTAGAGCACAACTGTGGGCACCGGGGTGGAGGGGACCAGGTGTGCTGGGGAGGAGAGAGGACCAGAAAGAGGGAGAAGTTCTGGTGGTGATCAGGCCCAATCTCTCAAGTTCCCATGGAAAGCTGGGGTCCTCGGCAGGCTGTCCCCCACCTGCCCAGGGATGGAGGAGCCCAGGAATAAGGCCTCACCTGAGTGGTGGAGATAGAAGCAGAGGAGGAAGGGAGGGTGCTGGTGAATGGGGAGCGACTGAGGCGGGGCAGGGCCGAGGTCCCCGGGGGCCCCAGGAGGCTGGAGGAGAGGGGGGTGCTGCAGACAGCCCGCAGCATTCCACCACCGTGAGAGATGGGGTCCTTATTACTGGTGTAGATGCCTACAGGCACAAGAAGGACACAGAGGGAAGCTTAGAGTCACCTCTCCCCTGCCCCCTCCTCAGTCAGTTCTGGAGCAGCCAGTCCCCAAGGCCGACACTCCCCTGGATCTTGCCACACACCAGTCTCACCCTCCTGCTGCAAAGATGTCACTTCTTGCCTGAGTGACATCTGCTTGCCAAGCCTGCTTATTCTACTTCCCTGCTCAAGCCTGAAGAATTCCCAGTTTTTCTAATTCCCCAACCCAAACTTGGTTAAGTTCTGTTGGCAGTCTCTCCCACCACAACCATGCAGGAGATGGGTATGGGGGAGTGTCTCAAAGGTGACTGTCACCTCCATCCTTTGTCTTCTGGAGCAGTTTCTGTCACATTTCCTTCTAACTGCATGTTTATGCTTCTGTCCCCTCACTAGACTGGCTGGGCCCTAAGACACCCTTGGTCCCCAAGGGTCACTAACCTGCCCCCAGCAGGGGGGACTCCAGGCTCAGGCTGGGCAGGCTCCCGGAAGGCCCAAAGGTACGGGAAGCCAGACCACCCAGACCAGAGCTGACAAGGGAACCTCCAGAGAAGGGTGAGGCAGCAGTGGCGGTGAAGCCAGCCAGCTGGGCACCGGGCAGGGAGGGAAGGGCTGGGCCCCCAGTGCCCTCCTTGTTGCGGCTGCCCTTGGGACGGCCTGGCCCGTGTCGGCTCCTCTTGCTGGCTTTGTGCTTCTTCTCCTTCAGGCCTGTCTCAGGGGTCTCCTCAGCAGGCACAGGGGTGGCACTCAGTGTGGGCATCCGCTTGTGAGTGCCTGCAGAGGCCCCGGAACCCGAGACATGGGGAGACTTATAGTCCCCAGGGGATGGGGCCCGGGCCCGGCCTGAGCTGGAAGTGGTGGTGGAGAAGCGCATGATGGGCCCGAAGCCAGAGAAGACCACCTTCTGTTCAAAGAGGTCAGCCTTGGGGGGCTCGGGGGCTGAGGGAGAGGGAGGGGCTGAAGGGGGGGGTGCAGTGGGCTTGGAGTACTTGTCTTCTTCTGGCTGCTCCAGCTTGGGGAATGCGGAGAAGTCAGGGGAGCTCTGCAGGGACGAAACTGCAGAGAGGGACACGGAATTACAGCTGGACCCCAGAGCCCCTGCCTTCCTCCTGCTCCCAGTGTGTACTAGAGGAGAGAGCTTTGGTGGGGGGTGGGGAAGCTGGGTTTCCTGTCCCAGCTCTGCCACTGTCTCTGTGTTCTGGGACCAGTGTATCCCCACCTTCCAGCTCTTCTCACCTGTGAAAGTAGAAGAATAGCTCCCACCCTACTGACCTCACTGGATGACTACAGAGATTACAGGAGATTAGTGTCAGTGCTTTAAAAATGGTACTTGACAGCATCAGTGAGGGAATAATGAATACATTATAGGGGTTGGAGAGGTGGGCCCTGAGGGAGATGGGAGGGGAGTTCCACCCTGAGAGAGGAGGAAGTGTTGAGGAGTCACTGGCTGGGGATTCCTGCCCCACCAGGCAATTTAAGAAGCAAATGAGATGCAAACCAATATGCAAAGGGCCTCGCTAGAAAAGCTCATAGCCAAAGACTGTCCCATTCCCACCTCCTCCCCAGCTCCCACATCCTGGGGTGCCCATACTCACCTGCAGGCTGGAAGGGTCCTCCAGACGAGGAGGAAGAGGAAGAGGAAGAAGAGGAGGAGGCAGAGGTGAAGCAGCTCACACCTTTCCCACTGCTCAGCTTCTTCCCCTTGTGACTCAGGCTATGGCTGGAAGACTTTTTCCCCTTGGAGTCCCTGCTGCCTTCAGAAGTCTCTTGAGTGCTGGCCTCGTGGTGGGAGGAGGAGGAAGCCGAGGAGGAGACCTGAGGGAGGGAGGAGAGGAAGGCTGGAGCCAGTTCCGGGGATCTGGGCTCACCCTGACTTGGGAGTGGAGCCCCGAGGACACAGGACCTAGGGCTCTATTGGGAGAGCTCAGAGTTAGCTTCAGGAAGGACTATGGAGCAAGGAGATAGATGGTGGTGGGAGCTCCGAGACCAGGGAGATGGAGAGGCAGCTCTGTAATTTCTAGAGGTGAAGAGTTGGGAGCTCTGAGCCCAAGAAGCTGTCTGTCCTTCATCTCATGCAAAGGAGAGATGAAAACAGTCCCAGAGTCTGTTCACAAGTATGCATCTGCTCAGTCATTCAGTTTAGAAACACTTAGGCCTAAGAGAGCTGGATTTGTGCTGGAAAGTGGTGCGTGCAGCGAAGAGGGACTCCAGGGAGAATGGGCTACCCTAGACCCATTCTTGGGCCCTCCGGTCCCCGCCATGCCCTCCCTGCTCACCCTCCAGCTGCAGCCACCTGGCTAACACTCCGCTCCCTGGCTACTCCCCGGCCTTTCCAGACAACCTGAGCTTCCATGCCAAGCCCTCTGCCCAGACAGCCTAGCCTCCCTCTTCCTGGGAAACATCTCCTTCTTCAAAATCCAGCTCAAAAGCCCCCTCTTCCGTGAAGTCACCCGATAGCTACCTGTGGTGGAAAAAATCATTCTGTCCTCTATTTCCTGGGTGCCCTGTACCCACCCACATCAGCCATGTCAATAGTTGCCACATTGTATTGAGAGACTGTCCCCCATGTCAGAGGGCGGCAGCAGTGGCTGGAAGAGTAGGGGCTCTGGGGTCTGTGAACCTGGTGTTTCCTACCATGTATGTATGTTCTCCACCTCACCGAGCTTCAGTGTCCTTCTGGGGCTAATTATCCCTCTTTGGAGAGTTATGAGGAACACAATGGCAGATACATAGTATGGGGTTGACGATGATGGTTCTGATGGTGCGGCTGCTAGCAATACACTGCAGAGAGTGTCCTGTGGTAGTTGAGAACAGGTCTTCAAGCCAGACTGCCTGGGTGCAACTCTTGACTCCACCATTCCCTAACAGTTTGCTTTTAGGCAAATTATTTAACTTCTCTGTGCCTCAGTGTCTTTATTTATTAAATGGGGTTAATAAAATACCTACTTCATTGGATTATTTTGAGGCTTAAATGAGCAAATCCCCATACATCCCCTCCATCCCCCTGTTCCAGAAGGGAGCCTGGCATGTGGGAGTGAGTCAGGGCTCTGTAGTAACAGTCAGGGACGGCTTTTCCTCCTGGTCTCCACCAGGTATCCAGTACATGAACAAATGCCAGAGGGAGGATGGAGAGGAGGATGAGCCACCCTGTGCTGCCCCTTCCTGGGCGGAGCCCTCGGCTCTGTCTTTTTCTTTGTTCTTTTCAACAGCTGGAGTTCTGAAGAGAGCCAGATGTGGTTCTGAAAGCAAAGGAGGAGAGGGCCCGGGGGAGGGGTGGCTGAAATGCTGGGGTGGGTGGAGGGGGATGGGCAGAAGGCTCCAACATGTCCAAAGGGAAGTCCAACCACTGGGGTCACTCCTAGATCTCTGGCCCACTCCTTCCCCATGCCTGCAGACCCCAGGGAGAGATCAGAGGGCAAGGACAAGCTTTTCCAGGTGAGCCCTGGGCAGCTGGGAAGGGAGAGGGTTACTGGGACAGTTGCCACAGCAACATCACCCTGGAAACCTGATACCCGAGTCTCCTGCTAAGATGCCCAGAGCCCTGGCAAGCTCCTGAGGCTGGTGGAGGTGAACGGGCAATAATGGCGACAGGAGAAAGCTGTATCTCCAGGCCCCTGTTCTTCCGGGGGTGAGGGGAGAACTGGCTGGAAGGAAGGGCTGGAAGGAGGGGCTGGAAGAAGCTGCTGTGGCTTGGATTAGCAACTCCCTGGCCTCGGGTAAGGCCTGCCAGTTGTTTATCCAGATGGTGCCCATTTCTGGAGTCAGGCCTGCCATGCCATGCCCCTGCTGGGAAGATGGGATGACCAGGGGTCTCAGGGTATGGTCCATGGGTCTGCCCTGCAAGCCGCCACGGGCCACACTTTGAGGCCCTCCAACCTGCATGGAGTGGGCTTTTGGTTAGGTGACCAGGCTCTGAGCAGCCTCCTGATGTGTGTGCGGGGGTGGAGAGTGAGGGGGTCCTCTGCCTCTCTCTGGAGAAATGGGCCCCAGAAACTCGGAAAACTGCCCTAAGTACTGCATCTGCAGACAGGAACCCAGAGCCGAGGCCCTCTGTCTGGACAGAGGCAGATGTGAACATCTGGCAGCCTGCAGGAAGGCTGGTGCCCCCCACCCCCACCCCTCCTGGTTGGTCAGTGACTAGTGGGGCTGAGGGGCAGAGGCCCCTCCTGGTCTAGAACAGGAGTAGTGTGGGGTGTGCCGCAGAGTCATGAATGTGAAATCGCCAGAGTTCCCAGGGCTGCACGCCCCAGCCCCTCACACTGTGCCTCCCTCCCGCTGCCGTGGCCGCCCCTCCTGGGTGTAAGCCGTGCTACCTTGTCAGCAGCGGGGACCACAGGTGGGGTGAGGATGCTGGGTGACTCAGGCCGCTTCTTGTGCTTCTGTTTAAGGCGTTCTTTGTCCTTTCGGCTCTGGGGAGGAAGAAGGGACCAGACGCTGATGCTGGGAAACAGTCTTGGTGAGGATAAACATGACACACGCATGAGGGGAGTGGGGTCCTCTTAGGGACAAGGCTCTGTGGATGCCATCTCCCCTCCATGGAGGGACTGGGGGACTTTGGCTGGACAGGAGTGGCCCCGGCAGGTTCCTCTGAGAGCTGACAGCCCCTCTCTACCCCCATCCTCCGGTGTGTTGTGCTGTGCTAAGCTCAGGTCGTGTCTGACTCTTTGCGACCCCATGGACTGTAGCTCGCCAGGCTCCTCTGTCCATGGGGATTCCCCAGGCAAGAATACGGGAGTGGGTTGCCATGCCCTCCTTCAGGGGATCTTCCCAATCCAGGGATCGAACCCAGGTCTCCCGCATTGCGGGCGGATTCTTTACCATCTGAGCCACCAGGGAAGCCCATCCTCACTGCCTGCTAAAAAGAACCTATCCCATTATCATGCCAGTGACACAGGACACCTCACACGGAGGCACACACCTGTACGGGTGTCCCCTTGGGACACGGAGCCGTGCAGAGGGACAGAAGCCAGGCACACTGGGACGTGCAGCCCCTGGGGACGCAGGCACGTGCACCACAAACTGACACACAGCTAGATGTGTGCAAATGTACAGGGCCATGTGTTGGGGTCTCTGGGGAGACTGTCACGTTGTAGGAACAACACAGAGGAACCACACAGATACAAACAGCCCCAGGGAAGCCAGGCCTTCACCTCACCCTCTGTGACCCTCACAGGTCACTTCCTCAGCACCCCCTTGGTCCTCAGTGGCCTCAGGAAGGAAGGGGGCAGGCACCATCGCCTCTGGGATACCTGTGGTGGCTTTGTGCAAGAAGCAGGTGTTTGTGAATGTGGGCAGGAGGGGCAAGGGGAGAAGACGCTTACCTTCTTCTGGCCCCTCTCGTGGTGGGAAGGGTGCTTCTCCTGCTGGGCGGATGGGGAGGCCGACCTGCTCCTCCGGCCAGCAATAAAGCTGCTGCTGCCTCCCCCTGCACCACCCCCTCCTCCTCCTGCTCCTCCGCTGCTGCCCCCGCCCCCGCTGGAGTGCCGGGATGTCTTCTGCAGAGAGAATTGAGAGGAACTGCCACACCCTCCTCTCTGTAGCTCAGAGAAAGGTTCTTGAAGATTAGGTGATCCTGGGGGCCAGTAGCCCCCACCGCCACCCTGCCTGTCACAAGAGGACCCTATGTCCTTAATGATACTCTGCTCAACAGAGTGCATTCCCTGGCCTGAAATCCTAGAGTCTGCCCAGCTGGCTTACCCAGGGCACAGATTCAGCAACTGAGGCCCCGAAGAGGTGGGGAATCTCGGCCCCAGCCAGGTACCAGGCATAGATGGAGGTGGGCGTCGGGCCTGTGTCTCTCTCCACCACTTCTTTCCATGGTGCCCTCTTGGCCCTCTCAGGTGCTCGACCTCGGCCCACCTCAACCTCCTTCCCTGGGGTGGAGGATGTGCAGTGTGGCCCTCATGGGAGCCCCTGCTCCCCAAACCCCATCCTTCCATCCAGACACTATGCTCCAGCCATCACCCCTTCTCTTCTTTTCCTGGCCCTCCACCAAACAGTGGTTCCTTTTGTCCCAAAGGATCTGCTGCCCTTAAAAATAGGGCAAGGAAATATCCATAAGGAACACCCAAACAACCCCTGTGCTATCATTCCTCCCAGCCAGGGCCTTGGACTCCCCAGTGCCTGGTCTGATGGCTTTACCCGTCTTAGACTTAGAGCTGTTCTAAGATCACCCACAAACTCCCAACTCTCAAATTCAAGGACTAGTTTCAGGCCTCATCTGACCCAGTGGCTCCCCAGCAGTGGGCATCACTCCTACTCTGCTAAGCTCTAAACTCCCCATTTCATGGTTCTCTTCATACCTGAGCCCCCAACCCCTAGCCTTATACACCTGGGGCTGCCACACCTATGGGGGCCTGAAATCTGAACACAGCCACCAAATCTAAACACCTCCACTTTGACACCTGCTGTATTCCAAACCAAGCTCGCTGCCTTGTCTTAGTGTCCTGTGAGTCATCCAGTCGTGTCTGACTCTTTGCAACCCCACGGACTGTAGCCCGCCAGACTCCTCTGTCCATGGAATTCTCCAGGCAAGAATACTGGAGTGGGTTGCCATTCCCTTCTCCAGGGGATCTTCTTGACCCAGGGATTGAACTTGGATCTCCTGCATTGCAATGGGATTCTTTACCACCTGAGCCACGAGGGAAGCCCCTGAGTTGATGTCAAACCCTGAACCAAGGTGATCTTATGACTTATCCAAACCAGGACACTTTTGAAAATGAAAGAAGGAGCTATTAATAATTACACCAAGGCAACAGGCGCAAACTGGGACTCTCTGGGGCAGACCAGGACGTATTCTCAAAGTCCACTCCACTGCCTGAGGAGCTCAAGCCCCATCTATCCAACATCAAGAGCCAGGATCCTATGTGCCACCCTCAACTCCTCCTTCTCAGCCACCCCCACATGTAGGCAAGTCTATCTAGAAATAATTCTAGAATCCAGCCTCATCCCTCCATCCCCCCTCTCTTGCAGCTGTCTCCCAGTCGCCAGCCTCAGCCCTTTGGATCTGGCTTCACAGTGGCTGCCAGGGTAATCTTCCTAAAAAACAAATCTGATCATGTTACCCTCTTGCTTACAAGCAGCCTCACAAGCCTGTGGCCTGGGGGTGAGGTCCAAGCTGCTTTCCTAGTCAGGCCACAGCATACCTAGCCAGGACACCCTGAGACATGCAGGTCTCTCCACCAACATGGGTTAGCACTCCTTCTCCCACCTCTCCATGGGCCCCTGAACCTGAGGCAGAAGCAAGTCCAGCTCTGGCCCTGCCTGAGCTTTTTCACCTCATCTCTTGCCTTGTCCCTACCAAACATCCTGTTCTGTTGCTTATGAATGGTCTTTCTTATCTTGGGACTTTGTCCATGCCAATCCCTCTGCCTGGGATTCCTGTCTTTCTTGGCAGGCTCCTGAGGACCTTCAGACTGTTTCTTCTAAATCCCATATACCAACTGTGAGATAAGTCACATAACCTTATTGGGTCTTAGTTTACTCATCCGTAAAATGGGTAAATGCAGTACACCTAGTTCTTAGGGAGGACTGCAAGAGCATGCACACCCACATGCACACGCACACCCACATGCACACACATGTAAAGAGATTAGTACAGAAGCTGGGGCACGGTAAGCCCCACAAATGTTGGCTCTAATTGTTGGCTCAGCTTAAATGCTGCCTCTTTCTTGAAGCCTCCTGGACTCTGATAGGCAGGGTCTGAGCTCTGTCTTCTGGGATGGACTGCTTTGGCTCAACTCTGATTCACACCCCTCAGGCTGTACTTAAATTTATTCCTCATCCAATGGTGAGCTCAAGGGCAGGGACACAGTTCCTTCCTCATGTCTGTCAGCACCAGGCACCCTAGAGTCCACACCCTCAAAACCATGGCTGACCAACCCACTCACACCCAGATGAAACTCACCATCTTGCTGAAGTGGTATTTGCAATAGCCACAGTACTTGACATTGTCAACCTCCAGCACTTCTTCCTCACACAGCAGGCCTGCCATTTGGGCACTAATCGAGAGAGGTCAGCCTGAGAAGGATGTGGTCCCAAACCAGACCAGCCACCTCCCTTGCACCCTCCAAGACCCCTGCTGGAGCAAAGCCAAAACCACCCAAGGAAAGTACTGCCATCATCTCCAGAGACAGCAGCTAGGATGAACCCATTTGGCAGCCATCCATAGCAAATCTCAGGAGAAGGTTGGGACAGCTGGCCAGGGATCCCAGAGAACCCTAAGGAGTGGACGCAGGGAAGGCAGGGGTCTCACCAGGTGACATGGAAAGCTTGTCGACATCCATGGCGGTTACAGGTCATGCAGGCTCCTGAAGCCGCCTTGCTCTCCCGGCCCTGCTCTTCACAGATGTAACATGTCTGCAGGACACAGGGCAATCATCCCCTCCTCCCTTCTACTTGAGGGATCCTTTGGCCTCCCTGCTCAATTTCATCCTCTCCCCACAATCCTACATCAGACTATCCGATAGCACTTTCTGTGATGATGGAAATGTTTGAGACTGCACGGTCCGATACAGGACCCACGAACTACATGGGTTATTGAGCCCTGAAAAAGTGGCTAGTGTGACTGAGAAACTGAATTTTAAGTTGTATTTAACTAACTTACATAACCATATGTGGAAAGTAGCTGGTACACTGGTTAGTGCAGTCCTTGGATGGTGAGTCCTGTGAGGCCAGGGACTGTCTCTGCCTTCCTCCCCAGCGAGCTCAGCCCCGCCTCTGGGCCTTTGCACATACTGTTCCTTCCACCTAGAACCTGGCCCTCTCCTCACTTCTCAAGGCTGGCTCCTTCTCATCCCCCAGGTCTCAACCAAAATGTCTTTCCGTGACTGCTTTATCTAAAATAAACTCCCCCCCCACCCCCTGCCACCCCCGTGCTGGTATTCTTTATTTTAGTACCTTCTTGTTTTCTTCACCGCACTTACCACACACTGCATTTACTTTGCCTGTTTACTGATATCTATAGTCGTCCCACACAGGAGTGGGAGTTCTGTGGGGCAGGGAACACATCTGTCTTGATCAATACTAAACACTGTGTGTCCAGCACCTTGCCCCAGTTTTTGCACATAGTAGACCCTCAGTAAAATGTGCTCAGTGAATGAATAAGTGAACTGCTCGCTCAGATCTCCCCTCAGGCAGGACTACAAAAAAGCCTGCTATTTCACCTGAGCTCGAGCGTGAGTCTGTCAGTGGAAGGTGCCTAGCCACCTCCTGAGTTCCCTGAAAGTGTAGGTTGGAGAGAATCAAATTACACTGGGTGAAGAGAGGGCTGGAGAGGGACCCAAGAATGGTTGGGGAGGAAGGGGCCTGGCATGGGGCACAGCAGGGGCCACTGACCTTGTTGAAGCGATCATGAGGCACGTACTGCAGCACGATGGGTTCCATGGTGAGCACGTTAGCAAACTGCACCTCAGGGATGTAGAGGGCACACACCACGTGGGCCCAGCCTGGGGCGGTGTGGGGCTGGCCTCAGCTGCGATGGCCAGAGACCCTGACCCCTCACAACCCCATACTGCAGACGGTCCCCTCCTCCATGGCCTTCCCATGAGACTCTCCACTGCCAGCCAGGGAAGGGAAGGGAACCCCGGCCTCTGCATTCCACCCCTGCCCACAGGCTGCTCCTGCCTTCCCAGACCCTGCTCAGGGGGCCTGTCTGACCTCAACAGATGAGCCCTAGGGCTCAGCAACCCCCTCACCTCCATTGTCCGTCCTCTTCAATGCCCCGTCTTTGTGTGGGCACAGCTCACACCTCTGCCAATACAAGGGGGCACAGGGATTTGGGGGATGGGCTTTTCCAAAAGGGGGGGTCTGCTTGGCTGAGCCCTCCCTGAATACATTCAGAGGGCCCCAGGATGTAATGATTAGATGTCTAAGGGGAAACTGGTGGGGGTACAGAGAAAACAGGTTGACCACGAGTGATAGTTGTTGAAGATGGGGGAGCCTCATCACCAGGAGATGAATTATAGTATTTCCTCTACTTCTGTATAGGTTGGAAACTTTCCATGATAAAAAGCTCAAACAAACAAGAAAACAAAAACAAAAATGCCTGTGGTGGGGCAGAGTGAGGGTTAAGCAGAGGGAGAGATGGGGTTGGTGATAGAGGTGCGCAGGAAACAGGAAGTCCTGTGTGACACTCCCACCCCAGCCTCAGCCTCAGAGCCCCCTAGCTCACTGGGGAGGGAGGGGATGCTCAGGTGTATATGAGAGGAGAGGGAAGTTTCAAACTCACCACCCTGGCTGCTCGCTCCTGAGATTCACATTTCCGGCAGAACCAGGGTCCTGTTGGCACCTGGACGATGCCATAGCAAGCTGGGGGTGAGGGAGGAGAATCACCAAGCAAATCTGTCACCAGTGGTTTTTCTCGGAGTAACTGGGGTAGGGGGTGACTCTTAACAAACCAGAGCCAGTTCCAGCCAGGGGGCTGCTCCCTGCCTGGGGGTCACTCACAGACAGCAGGACCACAAGGAATGCCCAACAGCACACGCCCAGCTTTCAACCACATAACCAAGCACTCAGGCAGAGGTGGGAAGTCTGAGACCTTGACTTTAAACTTCTAGAAGATCCCACCCCGCCCCAATGCCCTTTCGGTACCCAGCTTTCTGGTTCCCAGCTCTTACCAGGATCAGTCCTTATCATCAGTAACGGAGAATATTAGAGGAACAACATTTAGGATAGTCAAACACGTTTTGTTGTTATGGGGGTGGGGGGGCATTTCTTAAAGGGCCAGTAATAGAAGAGGCGGGTAAGTGGAGGGTCTAAGGGACCTCATCTTCTGCTTGTAATTATAATAGGAACAGGTCAAAAGTCAAGGCCGAGGGCAGGTGCACTGCAGGTAACCAATAGGAGAGTGGCGGGAAGAGCCAACAGCGACAGGATTAAGGGCTGTCCCAGGAAGGGGGGGGCCCAGCTGGCTGAACCAGACAGGCGGGAGATGCCAGCCTGCGCCCTCGGCAAGATTCCTCAAGGAGTTAACTCCCGAACCATGTGCTGCTGGGGGAAACTCCAAACCTCCCTCTTCTCGATTCCCGGCCCCCTGCGCAACCTCTCTCTATCCGCAGCTCTTCCCGGGAGGATTTTAGGAGTCCCCTCTCCCCTGGGACCCTTCTCTTCCCTTCCCAATTCCGCTCCTCCCAGTATCCGGAAGCAAGAGGGGAGGATGACCCCCCCTTGACCTCTCCCTCCCAGAGCCGGGACCAAAATAACCGGGCGGGAGGGGACACCTCGCAGGTAAACATTCTCCTAGCAGCCCCGACACCGGCGGTGTGGGGCGCGGAGAGTGCACTCATTGCCCTCTAGACTGTCCCCAAACTCCCTCAACTTGGGGTGGGGGGCGCGGGACTGGAACAATAGGCAAGAAAACAATGCCTGACCCGGTCCTCCAGGACCGGGCGGGGGGAGCCCCCTGACGCCTCCCTTCTCTTCAGGTGGGGTGGGGGAGGGGCGCCCGAGCCCCAGGAGGTCTCGGGAGGGCGCGGCCGGGGGCGCCCTGCGCACGCCGCCCCCAGGGTCCCGCCGCCCCCCACGGCCACCCACGTACCTTGGTGGACAGCCACGCTGCACGCGTGCCCATCACAGTAGACCAGCGGGTTCTCGGCCCAGCCCCTCTCGTCCGAACATACGCAGCAGCCTCCTACCATCTCCTTCATACTCCCATGAGCTCCCTCCGGGGCTGGGGTGGGGGCCCGGCCGGCGGGGGTCGGGGGTCAGGGGGGGAGGGAGGGAGCGGGGGGCCGCGCGCCTCCTCGCTCCCTCCTCCTCCTCCTCCGCCGCCGCCGCTTCTTTTCTTTGCCTCCTCCTTCCTCCTCCTCGGCGTCCTCCTCCTCCTCCTCCTCGCTCGCTCTGTCTGGCCGCCCCCCCCGCCGTGCTCTCGCCCTCATGCCCCGACGGGCCCCCCCCCCCCCCGCAACAATGAGACCCGCGCGCCGGGCTCGCCCCCTCCGCGCCGCGCGCCCAGCTACCAGGGCCGCCCGGCCTCCGCGCAGCCCGGGCCCGGCGGGGGAGGCGCCGAGTGGCACATCGCGGGCGCTCGCCCGCCCCGCGCCGCCCGCTCACGCGCCGCCCCCCCGGCCCCCCTGCCCGGCCGCGGCAGCCATGGCCGCGCGCCTCCGCTCGCTCGCTCCCGGCCCGCCCGCCGCCCGCCGCCCGCCGCCGGGTAAAGTCTTAGGTTCAGGGAACAAAAGCCTGGCTTGGTAGGGAGCTTTTCGCTAGCTTGCCCCGCGCTCATTTTCCCTCTTTCTTTTTCTTCCTCTGGCTCTCGGCTGGCGCTCCTGAGCCCTCCATCTGCCTGCCCTTCGGTCTCGGCCCCGGGTCTCCGATTCGCCAGCCCCTTCTGCCCAGGTCTTCTTCTCTGCGACTGTTCAACCCCAAGGAAACTTGGAGATGGAGATCAGGGGAAGGGGCGCTAGAAAGAGCGCGAGCGACGTCGGCTCTTCACCCCTTGGTGTCCGGGGTAGGGGGCCTTTTTGGATGGTCGTTCAGTGGCTGTTTTCTTGGAAGCCTGTCTGGAGGGCAGACACTTACACGCAGACATCTGTTCATTTCATTCTACAAATTTTTATTGAATGCCTACTATGCGCAGTCGTTGGGACAGAGCAATGAACGAACGGGTATGCCTGCCCTCGGGGAGCTTCCGGTTCAGCTCACACACACACACACACACACACACACACACACACACACGCCCTCGGAAGCACAGCGAGGCACCCACAAATACACACACTCACTCAGCCTCATACAACCACACTATCCGACCCTTCCAGAGGGGCACAGACCCCGGGTCCAACCCCTCAGGCGCGCTTAGAGACCCAAGCGAGTTAGGGAGCCACTGCTGCGGAAGTGCTCGCGAACAACCCAGTTACACTTGAACTCTATGCGTGTACCAAAGACACAGCATAAAGTCACACACAACGCCCCCAGAGGACTAAAGTCGCAGAAATTGGGTCTGGGAAAGAAGTGAGGGGGAGTCAGTCCGAAGGCTTCATCCCCAAGACCGCTGTGGGCAAGGGGGAGGAAACTTGGCCCCCCCCTACTTCCTAAAGGGGGACGGGTGGACGCCCGCAGGGACCAAAGGTCACATTCCCGCAGCGTGAGATGGGGTGGTGGAGGGGAGAAGGCAGTCCTGGTGGCTTCAGCGACACTTCAAAGACGTCGGGGCCGAGAACGCTTCCTGCGGGGGAGGGGCAGGCGGAGAGGAGAGGGGGAAATCGGCAGGAGGACTAAGGGTGGAGGAGGCTGCCCCCGCTTCAGCGCAGGCCCCCCGGCCGACTCTTCCGCCGGGACCGCCTCCTTTTCACCAGCACCTGTTCAACCGGAACATCAAGGGGCCCGGGCCGCCATCACCCCTCCCTTCGCGTCTATTTAGTACTTTTCATCCGAGAAGGGGGGTGAATCCTCGCCCAGGAGTGGGGAGTAGGGCGGGGGAGAACTTGTCCTTGACCTGGTCTGTGGCGTCAGGGATTTAGTCCCTTAATCCCGACGAGGCTGGAGTTTGGGGAGGTCGGGGAAGCTGAGTTCTAGGCTGCAGTCCCCACCTCCCCTTGCTCCTGCAGGGACATAGGAATCCGGAGGGCTGCCAGGACGTAGAGGCTCTGTCTAAATAGGCGGGGAGGGGGGTTGGGGGAGGCCTGTCTCTGCCGCTTCCGTGTCTGGGGGAGGGGGCCAAGAATCAGGGTATTGTTGGGGATCCGTCCGAGGGTCGGGATCCCCGCGAGGACTGCTATGCGTCGATATCTTCATCTGCTTTGTGAACTTCGCTCATACGAAAAGTTAAAACAAGACACAGACGAGAAGTCTCACTTAGGAGTTTCTGACGAATTGCCTTTTCTGACAAGAGTAAAACATCAAGGAAATTAAACGCAAAAATATCAGCCCAAGCCTTGCGCCAGTTTTTGGAATATTTGAGTAATTGCTTTCGGAACCGATTTTGGCCGAGGTGGCCAAAACCGAGGTGGCCGACCGTAGTTTCGGGTTTCGCTGGACGAGGGTCACTAGAAGAACCGTCGGTCCCTGCGTTTAGGGATGGTCGACTTGGGGACTGGGGACAAGCAACCTTTATTCGGGTCCTCACCGCTTGCGGGTGCACCGCCCGAAGCTTGTGGGATGGACGGGTTGTACGTTTAGTTTAAAGTACTAGGAACATGGTTTCGTTTAAGTCACCCACAACCCTTTAGGGTGTTAATACTCTCCATTTTATTGATGGAGTAACTGAGGTTCGTCACAAATGAAGTGACTTGCCCAAAGTCACACTGTCTGAAAGCGGCAGAGCGGGGATTTGAACCCACTCTGTTCTCTGCTAGAGCTGGGGCTCCACCACCGTGTGTTCCCCGAATGCCAGTGTCGAACTGGGATGCCCGCCCATCATAAATGTTCGCGTCTGAGGTCTGGGGAAACCCGGTGCCCCGCGGACTGGGTGGGATTCGCAGGGGGTAATCCCAGGGCTGAGCTGTCAAGCTCCTTCTCCATCTTCCAACATCTTCCAGAGCACCTACTATATGCCGATTCACGGAAAAATGAGCAAGAACAGCACTGGGCCAACAAGTGGTTCAAGTTCATTGCGCTCTCCTTGGCGTCACGGAGCACTGATCTGGGATGTCAGGCTAATCCTGGCTGTGCAGTTTTTGGCGTGTGACTTCACCTTTCAGAGGCTCAACTTATCCCTCTTAAAAGGGGCGTTAACCCCCTCTGGCAAGGATTGCAGTGAAGATCTAACGAAAATCCTTTTGTAAAGCGCTAGGGCACACAGTAGGCGATCAATCCTTGCTCTTCCCCGTCTCCACCCCTCTAAGGGTTCCAGGGCAGCGGGTTCCCGCTCTGGCTTCCCGCCTCCGGCACGCTCACCCGCCTAGCGCGTCCCGCGGCTAAGGGACTGGGGCAGAGAGGACCAAACAGAAAATTATTTCCGCCCGCTCGGCCCGCCCCGCCCCGCCCCGCCCCGCCCGTCCCCGGAGCCAGAAGGGGATTGTGGGGCCGCCGCGGCCGCTGCCGGAGCGGAGAGGGGCGGAAGCGCGCATCGCGCTGCTGATCGGGCCCGACCGCGCCGGCCCCCGCACCTCCCGGCCCGGGACTGCGGACTGGGGTCGGGGTGGTCCTGGGATCCGAGGCGGCTGCCGCCGGTCGCATTTCCACGAAGCCTTGTTCGCTCGTTCCCGGAACCTAGCGGGGGAGGCTGAAGAGTGTTGAGGTTTCGCTTCTCCTAGCTGGCCGGGCGCTTGGTTTCGCCGGTGCCGGGGGCACGCCCTCCCCACTAGAAAGCCCCGGGCTCCGGGAAAGGATTGCGCTGGCGCCCGCGGGTTTGCATTTTATTTGCGTCCCGTTTGCATATCATTTTATCCCCCGAAAGCAAAGCTTCTGACCTTGGGGGCGTTCAGAGAGGTTAGGTTACTTTTCCGAGATAACCCAGACAATAAGAGGCCTCAGGTGGTTTTCCTGCGGTCTGGGAGAGCCTGGCCTGGCCAAATAGAAAGATGGGACCCTAGAGTCAGAAAGACCTTGGTTTGGTACCCAGCTTAGTCGTTTACTGACTTTGACCATAGATTAGTAATGCCTTATCTGGGACCCTCAATTTTCCCATCTCAGAATGGGGACACAGTACCTCAGGGTTGATGTGAGCAGTGACAATGTCAAGTGCCTGGCATAGGGAAGGGTGATTTCCCCGTCAAGGGTTATGACTGCCACGGTCTCTACAGCAAGCTTGGTTGGGGTGCGAGGGTGGGTGAACAGGTTCTTTCCTAAGTTAGACATCCTGTGCAAGAGGAATAGAGGCTCGATTTAAAGAGGAACTGGTGGGAGTGAGGGGATTCCCCCAAGCATTAGGCGGCCAGCCGTCATAATTATTGTAACAAATAGTGACTCTACCCTGGTGGAATTTTTGGCTTTTCAGATCTTTCTACGGGAAGAACACAGTGCTTAGTGTCAAAGCCTACCTCTGCCATTAACTAGCAGTGTAACACAGATTCTCACTGTCTCTATTTGCCAATCTGGAAAATGGGGATAATTGGATCCTCTCCTCCAAAGTGCAGGGCTTTGACAACTCCAGCTAGCCAAGGTCCCCGCAGGTGTTTTAAGAGCTTTGAGCCCAGGAAGTTCCTTTGGTCACTTAAGGCACAGGGGACTTCCTTTAGGGAGTTAAAATGGGTAGGAAGGGAAGAGGTTCATGGAATAAGGTAGCCATCTGCCCAGACTTTCCAGAGGTACTTGGAACCTAGTCCAGCCCTGCCCCTAACCAGCTAGGTGACCTTGGGCAGAGCAGTTGCCCTCTCTATCATTTGGTTGGGTGACTGGATCTTGAAAATCCCCTTGGAATTAACATTCTGTGGTTGATGAGTTTGCTCTTGGGGAAATTTCCAGGCTGAGGGGTGACAAATGAATAGCACATTTGCCCTCCTGTGTTCTTTTTCACCAGTTCCTCCTGAAATCTAATCATTCCTCCTGTTATAATTGCCATCAGGACAGATGTGGAAAAAGTTGTATTATTCTGTCTTTCGGCAAATTCTTCATTGAATCATTATGGGCAGGCCATAGGAAATACACCGTACCTGGAATGGTGGGAATGACAGATATAGACAAACAACTTCAGTTCAAGATGATAATGGCTGTGATAGTGCTAAGAACAGTGCTAACACTGGCAGGAAGGAAGGAACTGTATTTATGGGGTTAGGGAAAGCCTGAGCTAGGACTAAGTGAGTGAGGGAGGGTTTGCAGGCAGAGAAGGGACAGAAGAACTTTCCAGGCAGGGGGCGGGGGGGAACAGCATGTTTAAAGGCACAGAGGTGGGAACCAGCAAAGGTGGGAACCAGTATATTGGAGTTGTACATTGTGGACACCCCATGGTGGTATGTGCAGTAGGAGAACAGGAGGGAGGGTTAGCGAGATGGCCAAAAACCAGATTAAGGGGACCTACGTTATTTTGCTAAGGAGTTTGGATTTAATCCTGAGAGCAGTGGGGAGCCAGTAAGGGCTTTTAAGTAAAAGATGCTTAGCCTTATTTGCACGATGGTTGTCAAGTCTGGGATTGGTTAGGGTTGTGGGGAGGTTAGATGGATTAGGACAACAATTCTCAACCTTGAGTTCTCGTGATTCCCCTGGGGGGGTCTTGTTGAAAAACAGAGTATGACTCAGTAGGTCTGAGGTGGGGGTTGAGACCCAATATTTTTAGCAAACTCCCAGGTGGTGCTCCTCCAGAGAGCGCAGTTGAATAGCAACTGGTAGGAGACTTCAAAGGATCCAGTTGAGAGATGAGGGTTTGACTCCGGCAGAAGCAGAGGGGATGAGCAAAGGGCAGCAGATGAGGATGTAAAGAGGTAGAATGTTAAGACTGTGACAGGAACTGTTTGGCAAGGCAAGACCAGGAGGATGACTCCCAGAGGTGCAATGTAGAGGACTTGCTGGTTGGAGCTCTCTGCACTCACTGTAGAATTCAGGAGTGGGGGTGGGGTGGTGGAGCTGACAAGGAACTGCTCTGGGCCTGCTGACATCAGGTGTCTGTGACACGTGGGGTGGTGATGCTTAGCAGGCAGTCAGTTGTTTGGGTTTAGATCTGCAGTCTGGGTTGCAGAGACCCGGAGTGAGAGGCCCAGAAGGCTATCCTGAGGGGCAGGGAGCTCACGTCATGGAAGTCAGAGAGGAACTTTAAGAAAGAGGAAGTGATGCCAGGTCACATGCCACTGAGAGGTCAAGGGAGGAAAGGCTTCTTTGTGGAGGAGAGGAGGGGGTGCCTCCTTGATGACTTCCGCCTGGAAAGTTCCAGGCACTAGCGGGGGTGGAGGCTGACCACAGTGGGTCAAACATAGATTGAGGGGTGAGAAGGAGGAAATAGTGGATAACAGTGCTAGGGGGAGGGACGGGTCAGGAGGCAAGAGTGGACAGCTGTGGTGTAGTGATGGTGATGACGACAATAGCCATGATAACAGCAGCAGCTCACTTTTGACGAGAGCCAATGTGCCAGGCACTGTGCTAAGCATCTAACAATCTTGCAACGACACTGAGATAGATTTGATTCCTGTTCTCATTTTATAGGGAAGGAAACAAGCTCAGAGTGCACAGCCAGAAGGTGCAGAAGCAGGATTTAGACACTGCCTTTAACCATGTGGTCAGTCCAAATTATCAATAACAGGCTGCTCTGGGGACTAGCTAGCCCCTTCTCCCCAAGCCTCTCCCTGTCTGTCACCTCCTACTAAATCACTGTCATTTCTTTAATCCACTACCATTTGTTGACCCCTACTATGTGCCAGGTAATGGACCAGGCACTGGTGATGCAGAAAGGATCAAGGCAGGTTGCAGCCCCTGTAGGTGCCCGGGGTAGAGAGGAAAGGCTGGCTGGTGGGCAGGCAAACATCACCGTGCAGTTCGATATGTGTTATGATGGGGAATGGACCTTTTACAGAGGGAGCCCAGGAGAAGAAGTTCCAGTTTCTGTCTGGGGAAGTCAGGCAAGGCTCTTTGGAGGAGGCAGGCTGAGCTATGACTTGAAGATGACCAGAAGTTTTCTGGATAGCCAGGGGAGGGAGAACATCACAGGCCAATGATGAGCGGATGTACATACCCTGGTGCCTCCAAGGGGTACAAGTGTTTCACGAAAGGGGGGTGGGAGGGAAGGGGTCAAGACACTTTACCTGTGGCTCAGATTTGACCCCAGGAACATGAGGTCCCGTGGAAGATGCTGAGCAGATGTACATGTTGCAAAGTTCAGTACCCACAACACAGTTGGTGGTCAGAGGGGTAAAGGTGGAAAACAGAGTGACTTCTGAAATTAATGCAAGTTCTAGAATGTAAGTTCCACAGTGCAGTGATTTTCTTCTATTGAAGTAAGTTATTTCCAACATTGTGTTAGTTTCAGGTATACAGCAAAGTGATAAATATTCTTTTCATAATATTTTGTCCCTTATTACAAGTAATGAATATACTTACCTGTGTTATACAGTAAAGCCCTGTTGATTACATATTTTATGTATAGTAGTTTGTATCTGTTAATACCATGCTCCTAATTTATCCCTCCCCACTCCTTTCCCATTTGGTAATTATGTTTGTTTTCTATGTCTGCGAGTCTGTGTTTTGTTAATAAGTTCATATGTGTCATATTTTATACTCCACTTATAAGTGATATTGTAATATTTGTCTTCCCAGGTGACGCTATTGGTAAGGAACCCACCTGCCAATGCAGGAGATGTAAGAGATACAGGTTCAATCCCTGGGTTGGGAAGATTCCCCTGGAGGAGGACATGACAACCTACTCCAGTATTCTTGCCTGGAGAATCCCGTGGACAGAATCCACACCCTCTCCAACATTTATTATTTGTAGACTTTTTGATGATAGTCTTCTGACTGGTGTGAGATGATACCTCATTGTGGTCTTTATTTTTTTAATAATTAAAAAATTATCTTTGTTTATTTTTGGCTGTTTTTATTTATTATTTCATTGCTGCGTGGGTTTTTCTCTAGTTGCAGCAAGCAGGGGCTACTCTTTGTTGTTGTACAGGAGCTTATCACTCCCGTGGCTTCTCTTGTTGTGGATCACGGGCTCCAGGCGCATGGGCTTCAGTAGTTCTGGCTCCTGGGCTCTAGGACACAGGCTTAATAGGTATGGTGCACAGGCTTGGCTGCTCCATGGAATGTGGGATCTTCTCAGATCAGGGATTGAACTTGCATTGGCAAGTTATTGCATTGGCAGGCAAATTCTTTACCCCTGAGCCCCCAGAGAAGCTCCTCATTGTGGTTTTGATTTGCATTTCTCTAACAATTAGCAATGCTGAGCACTTGATCACATGCCTGTTGGCACATCTGTATGTATTCTTTGGAGAAATGTCTACTTGGGTCTATAGGGCAATGATTTTTACCTGTTGTGTTTACTGATGTAACCGAAACACCTGGATCAGTGTTGGGCACATAGTGGGTGCTCAGTTAATACTTGATGAGTGAATGAATGGGTAAATGGATGAGTGCTGAAATATTTCTGGGAGTGAGGAAGAGGTCCTGGACTGGAATGTTGGTGGGGATGGAGAGAGGGAATGTGTAGGGGGTGAAAATGAGAGAAGCTGGTTGTTGACAGTTGGCAGTCATGGAGGGGTGACTCCCAGGTTTCTGCCTCAAACTACTGGACTCCTAAAGAAAGGAGGAGGAACAGAATTGGGAGGGAGTTGATGGATTCAGGTTGGGCTTGCTGCATTTGAGGTTTAGTGGACCATCCCAAAAGAGGATTGGATTTGTGTATCGCTTTAAAAATTATAAAATGCTTTTGAAGTATATGTAATATTTTGCCTACCTCTTCTGCCATATCCTTGATACTCTGAAAAATATTCAGAGATATCTTTGAGCATTGTCAGCAGTAGATAGTAACTGAATTCCGGGTGAGGGTAAGGTCAAGCTGGAAAGCTGTGCAGGTGCAGAGAGCAGAAAGCCAAGGCCAGAGGCTCAGGGAATGCTGGCATTTAAAAGGGTGGGGGAGGAACCTCAAGGAGCATGAGAAGGAAACTCCAGAGATGGAGAGGGATCTCCAGAAAAAGTGGTGTCATGGAAACCAGGTAGGAGAGAAGGGGGAGGGAGTGCCCACAGGGGTCTCAGAGAGGGGGCAACTGATCCAGCGTGGTGGGAGAGACGTCCGCAGATTGGGTGAGAAAGGAGAGAGAGTGTGAGGGGAGACATCCTTCCTAGGGGCTGGGATGGGAGAGATAGGAAGAGAGGACCGCAGGGGAGGAGGACACAAGGTCAGGGAGGTATGGCCTGCCGTCTCCTGGACAGTCTAGTACAAGGGCTCAGGTGGACCAGAGGGGGCATGTTGCTTCTCCCAGGGAAGGTAGGACATGAAGGATGGGGACAGATGAGTGTGTGTCTGTGTGTGTGTGTGTGTAGGCTTTTTCTGCTTGATCAGCTCAGTTCAGTCACTCAGTCATGTCCTACTCTTTGCGACCCCATGAACTGCAGCATGCCAGGCCTCCCTGTCCATCACCAACTCCCGGAGTCCACCCAAACCGATGTCCATCGAGTCGATGATGCCATCCAACAATCTCATCCTCTGTCATCCCCTTCTCCTCCTGCCCTCAATCTTTCCCAGCATCAGGGTCTTTTCAAATGAGTCAGCTCTTCGCATCAGGTGACCAAAGTATTGGAGTTTTAGCTTCAACATCAGTCCTTCCAATGAACACCCAGGACTGATCTCCTTTAGGATGGACTGGTTGGATCTCCTTGCAGTCCAAAGGACTCTCAAGAGTCTTCTCCAACACCACAGTTCAAAAGCATCAATTCTTTGGTGCTCAGCTTTCTTTATCATCCAACTCTCACATCCATACATGACCACTGGAAAAACCATAGCCTTGACTAGACAGACCTTTGTTGGAAAAGTAACGTCTCTGCTTTTTAATATGCTGTCTAGGTTGGTCATAACTTTCCTTCCAAGGAGCAAGGGTCTTTTAATGTCATTGCTGCAGTCGCCATCTGCAGTGATGTTGGAGCCCAGAAAAATACAGTCAGCCACTGTTTCCACTGTTTCCCCATCTATCTGCCATGAAGTGATGGGACTGGATGCCATGATCTTAGTGTTCTGAATGTTCTGCTTGATAGCATGTAGTTTTTCCTGAAAATTTTTTTTTAGTTCTCTATTTTTTAATCAATGTTTTATGGTATAATTTACATATAGTAAAATGCACACATTTTATGTGTATAAGTGATGACCTTTGGCAAATGTACAGAGCCATGTAACCATCACCCCCATAAAAATATAGAACATTTCCATCTCCCAAGAAAGTTCCTTCATATCCCACAGCAGTCATCCCCCCAGCTCCAGGCAACACGAATCCAATTTCTATCACTAATAGATCTTGGTAGATTCATTTTGCTGGCTCTTTGTGCGTGCGTGCTCAGTGTGCTGGCTGACTGTTTGAGACCCCATGGACTGTAGCCCGCCAGGCTCCTCTGTCCATGGAATTTTCCAGGTAAGAATACTGGAGTGGGTTGCCATTTCCTATTCTAGGGGATCTTCCCTACCCAGGGATCGAACCCATGTCTTCTGCGTCTTCTGCATTGGTAGGTGGATTCTTTACCACTGAGCCACCTGGGAAGCCCTTGCTGGCTCTAGAACTTCATTAAAGTGGAATCTTAGATTCTTCTGTGTTCAGCTTCTCTCAGTCAACTCTGCATTTTCTTTCTGAAACAGGAAACAAAGCCATTGCTGAGCAGGGGGCTCAGGTGGAGAGCAGAAGAGGAGCCCCTTGGGGCAGGGGGATGGAAGGGTTGGGGGACAGCAAGTGGGCAGTGTCCCCCAGTTGTGGCAGAATCCGAGAAAGCAGCCACATGGATTTGGGTTCAGATATGAGGCTATGCTCAGGGTGCTAGGATTCTGGGGTGCAGCAGACCTTGGTCATAGCTGGGGTAGGGTGAGGCCTAGGGACTGGGGTAGGGTGAAGATGAATCCTGTCTCCTGGACTCAGATAGGATGGTAGGAGTTGGGATTCAAAATCCCAGAGTCATGCCTATCATTGCCTCACCAGCTGTTGGCCGACCACCTCTTCAGTGGAACTGTTTCCTGACCCTGGTCCAGGCCCTTAGCCCCTTGAGGTTGACTCTCTGCTCGCCCTCTTTTTTTAAAAAAATTTATCCATGTATTTATTTGACTGCTCTGGGTCTCCGTTGTATCACGCTGGGTCCTCGCAGTATGAAGTAGATCACACTGGGATCTACTTCCATGAGCAGGGATCAAACCCCGGCCTCCTGCACTGGGAGAATGGAGTCTTAGCCACTGGACCACCAGGGAAATCTCTTTGCCTGCCCTCTTGTGGAGATTCTTTATCCCTACTTACAAGCTCTCCTTCACCTGCCTATTTCCCCTCAGCCTCCAAATGAGCTCAGGCCACCTCCATCCAAAAGGCCACCCCCTTCGCCTTGTCTGTCAGCCCCCTCTGTCTTCCATCCCCACTCTGCTTTGTTAATCAGGAAGCTGGATCAAGAACTTCATCTCCGTGCACACGACTTACAGTGACTCTCTGGCTCCCCATCTCCCCTGCCGAAATTGCTCTGCCGAAGGTCCCAGTCACCACCAGTCTTGGATATTTTCTGGAGGTTATGGCTGCCCAGTGTCCCCCTGTCTATTTCAGGGGATGACCCTAGATCTCTCGTATACCCCACCTAGGCCAACTGCTTTACCGCCAGCCTTCTCCATCTCAATTGATGACCACTCGACCTTTACAGTTGTTCAAGCCCACAGCCTGGGATTAGTGCTGGTTCCTCTCCCACATCCACTCTCTCAGGAGATATTGCTGCTCTGCCTCCACAATATACACGGAATTCAATGACTTCCCACCCCGCTCACTGTTATTCTTTCCCCGGGATTATCCTGGTAGCTTCCTAACCAGTCTCCCTGCCTCCATCCTTGCCCCTACCATCTATTCCCTACACAGTGGCCAGAATGATCCCCTTAAACTGTGTACTGGATCACTCCTGGGTTCCAAGTTCTCCAAGAGTTCCCACTGTACTCAGAGGGAGGGTCAAGTCTTTAAAGGGCTGACAGTGTTCTAAACGGTCTGTTGCCCCCATCCCT